CAAATCTCTCTTCCCCGTCGAGGACTCCGACGCCGAGGCCGACTCCAACTCTGCCGCCGAAAGCACCGCCAAAAGCACCGCCAAGTCGTCCACGTCTGCTGCTGCCCGCCACCGGTCTCCCAAGTTTGTTGAGCACATCGACGAGACCGACGCGGCCGGTCACGGCAAGGACGCGATCGAGCACCAGAACGGCGAGTTGAACGGAAAGACGAACGGCTTCGCCTCCAGCCGCGAATCGAAGCCCGCCATGGCGCCGTCCAAGACCAACGGCCACCCCATGGCGATCAATGGCAAGGCCACCGACGCCGAACCCATGATCAAGACGGAGCACGCCGTCGATGGCTGGAAGCCCAGCGCTGATCACCGCGTCGACTACTCCACGCACAAGGAGTTTGGTGGCTCCCTGGGCGTGTCTGCTATGATGATCTGCTTCCCCTTGCTGATGTGGTACATGTGGATTGGCGCCACGTACTACAATGGCAAGCTTCCCATGCCGGCCGAGGACGAGTCGATGGAGGACTTTGCGCGCCATCTGATCGACCTGGTGTACACTGGTGCCTTCCCCTCGCTCAAGGCCTGGGCCATATACTGGACGTTCCTCATCTTTGAGGGCTTCTGCTACTGCCTCATGCCCGGCATCTGGGGCTACGGCAAGCCGCTGCCGCACCTCAACGGCAAGCAGCTGCCGTACTACTGCTCGGCCTACACCAGCTTCTACGCAACCATTGCCATTGCGTTTGCCCTGCACGTCTCTGGTCTCTTCCCGCTGTACACGCTTATTGACGAGTTTGGCCCTCTTTTGAGCGTGGCTATCATCTCTGGCTTCCTGGTCAGCATTGTTGCGTACTTCTCGGCTCTGATCCGTGGCGCCCAGCACCGCATGACTGGTGCGCCCCTCTACGACTTTTTCATGGGTGCTGAGCTCAACCCCCGCATGTTCGGCATCCTCGACTTCAAGATGTTCTTTGAGGTACGCCTGCCCTGGTACATCCTGTTCCTGCTGTCGTGCGGTGTCGCTGCACGCCAGCTCGAGAACTACGGCTACATTACGGGCGAGATAGGCTTCCTCGTCATGGCCCACTTCCTCTACGCCAATGCTTGCTCCAAGGGCGAGGAGCTCATTATCACGACCTGGGACATGTACTACGAGAAGTGGGGTTTCATGCTCATCTTCTGGAACCTCGCTGGTGTGCCGCTCTCCTACTGCCACTGCACCCTGTACATTGCCAACCACGAGCCATCCGAGTACCAGTGGAGCAAGCCCGCCCTCGTCTCTCTATACATATCGTACCTCTTCGTCTACTGGGTCTGGGACAGCTGCAACAGCCAGAAGAACCGCTTCCGCTCTGCCGAGCGCGGTACGCTCGTCGTCCGCCGCACGTTTCCCCAGGTGCCGTGGCAGACGCTCAAGAACCCCAAGACCATCAAGACGAGCACGGGCGACGACATTCTGGCCGACGGCTGGTATGGTCTGGCCCGCAAGCTGCACTACACGTGTGATGTCTTCTTTGCCGTCTCGTGGGGCCTGATCTGTGGCTTCAAGAGCCCGTTCCCGTGGTTCTACCCCGTCTTCTTCTGCCTCATGATCTCGCACCGTGCCCTCCGTGACATCCAGCGGTGCCGTCTCAAGTACGGCGACGCCTGGACCGAGTACGAGAAGCGCGTCCCGTACCTGTTTATTCCTGTAAGTTTCACGTTGTTCTACGAGTGTCATCCGTTATATCCACTTACTAACCGCCTTTTGTACAGTACGTCATCTAGTCTCTGAAAAGAGACAAAATGCCATGTCGTGTTACAACAGCGGTTATATACGCCTAACCTACTTTTGAACGTTGCAACGTTTTGAACGATACAAATTTGCAATGTGTGGACGCGTCTCTACCTTTCATCTCACGCTCCTACGCTACTACGCTCGCTATTGTGCATTGTTTATTTTTTTGCCAATATTCGCTTTCTTGTATATAACATTAGAACATACGTTTTGTAGTATCTCTGTTTCCTATGCGTTTATATTTCCTTTTGTTTTGCTCATTGCATTTTGGGATTTCTAGAAATACATTAGTCGGGCTACTCGTCTCAGTACAAAAGATGGCAGAAACAAGCGGCTTCTCAGCAAAGCACAAGCCAAGTAATACAACTTTTAATATTTGTTGAAAGAGTAAACGAACAAATCGTTGTGCCACTGTGCATGAAATACTCTAAAGTGTCAACTCACGTCACATTGAAAAGCCAAGGCACACTAAACGTCTAATAATATTCCAGGCAAGATAATTATGTAAAAAGCGACAAGGTAAATAAGGGGTGTAAATGCAAAGGAATAGCAGTGTAATGCGACAATAGTACATATGTTTTGCCCGGCAGTCCTTTCTGGTACCTCCAGTGCAAGACAAAATAGATTTGGACACGGGCAAGATGAACAAAAACAAAACAAAAAACCATTTCGGTCCGAACCGTCTTCCGTTTCCGAAATTACTGTTCCCGAAAAGCAAACAATGGATTGGAACCAGGTTTCCCTTCCCCTCACAAGAAAATCCGATCGCATCGTCGTTTCCAATCGCATCCGTCGTGGGGGGAGAGCATGGCCGTAGAGCAGTATTATAGTAACCGCACACTCATCTTTCCGTCTCCTCGATCCGTACATATGCAAAGATTCTCTGACTCAACGATCGCGCTCGTCGTCGGAGCTCGACGGTGGCAAAACCGGCTCTTCTCCTATCGTCTCTCCCAACGTTTCGTGCTCGACGCCAGTGCGCTAATGATGCCAGATTGCAGCTCTTACATCCCACCTGGCAACGCGGAATGTTGTCGGAAAGGTACCGAAACGAGCTTAGCAGACGACGTTGAGCGACGCCTTGGAGTTCATCAGAAGGGCCACAATCAGGCCGTACAGACCCAGAACCTCGGCGAAAATGAGAATCAGAATCATGCCGACAAACAATCTCGGCTGCTGAGCAGTACCGCGCACACCAGCGTCACCGACAATGCCGATGGCGAAACCGGCTGCCAGACCGGCCAGACCGACGGCCAGACCAGCACCGAGCTGGATGAAACCAGTGTAGAGTGCGTACTGGTCCTGCTTCAGGTTGTCGGAAATCAGGACGGACACGACGAGTCCGTAGATACCGATAATACCAGCCATAATGACGGGCACAATGTCTGAGAAAGATGAGCGTTAGTCAGCCTAACAGAGAACGGCGGATGGGAACGGTACGGGTTCGGCAGCGAGAGGCAGCTCACTCTTGACGATCAGGTCAGGGCGCAGGACACCCATGGCGGCAATACCGACACCAGACTTGGCAGTACCGTACGAGGCGCCCAGGCAGGTGAAGACGATAGCCGCTGTGCAGCCCATGGCACCGAAGAAGGGCTATTCCGAGATAGAGCATGTTAGCCACAATGCAAAGGATTTATCAAAGAGTCGTGTATGTAGTCCTCAGATAAGGATCGTCGCGACTGCATGGCTGAATGGTTATGGTTTGGTATTCGTGACCGGGAGGTAGCACCGTATAACGCGAGCGCCAATGTTGGTGGGCGACAAATCGAAGGTATGGAGTATAAGGAATAACTAACCGCGTAGACGGGACTAGAAAGCGAGGGGAGGAAGTGTTAGTTTTGATGGATGCAGATCACGACAGCTACCTGAAGGTAAGGAAAGCACGCGCCGAAGCTATCCGGGGAGTGGGTTTAGGAAAGCTTCAGCAGCCACGCGTCCCCGGCCCCTCGAGCTTCCCGACACGTGAAATTCCATCGACTAAAAGAAGACAAAGACATACCACAGATCACTAGACATGATGGCGGTTGTGAGTTGAGAGAGGGAATAGGTTTGGTAGGGGAACAGCTGAAAAGGAGTGCTGAAGGAGCGGGTCTAATCAAGGGCGCGACTCGAGATGGGTGGCAGGAAATATCTAAAGCAGGGCGACTGAAGCTGTCGAAGCGGTCCAGAAATGTGCTGGAGAGTGGTGGTTGATGGCGGAGTGGATGGCGGTGGTGTGTTGGCGATGAAGCGATGCAGAGTGCAAATGCAAGATGGGAGATGGAGGAGAGGAAGCCAAAAACGAGGCTTTTCGGTTGGCGAGGTGTTTTCCACTTTGAGTGGTCGATTGGGGAAAAGGGAGGGAGGGAGCGACTGGCAGCTAGTCTCCTGCCAGGACAGGCGGATAAACTATTTCGCAGTCCGCTGCTGCCTGAGTTGCGAGAAGCAACATAGGGAGTATAACAGGGATCCACTCATATTTCAGTACGCTGTAATGCAACCAATGCACTTGACCATCAAAAGTACACGTGGGTGAGCAGTCCACTGCGCGAGTGCTGTCGGCGCATGGCACCTATGTCTCATTGTTTAAGCATTAGCCTTGAGTTTCCGATCGAGGAAGTGTGACAACAAAGTAGGGCGACACCGATAATAAGAGGATTTGAATTTACGCAGCTCGCGCTCCTTCCGTCATGCTTTGTGAATGATCTTTACCGGCAAGAGGTAATTATATTTTGCTCAGACGTTATTTTCAAGTACTGAAAGCGTATAAGTTTTAGAAGGAGCAATCGTCATGTTTCCAACTGGTGGTGCACAGTAATTACTACGTCACAATAGTGAATCTCGGCCACTGGGTAGGTTGCGCTACGCTGCATTCTAGGGGTGTTCACAGGCCTTTGACCGCCATGGTACCTGCTGCGTGCCCCGCTAGCCGAGACACCGCGGCAGGCTCAACGTAAATAGAAACAGCGACCGACATCGCGCTCCTGACCTCATCATCTTGTACGGAGCTGCCCTTCGCTCCTGCCATTTCCGAGCTGACAGAGTTCGAGTAGGATTGGGCTCCTTATAGACTTCCCAGCCCCGCAATCTCTCACCCTCGTTTACATTCTCATCCCCTACAATTGCCACCACATCTTTGAATGTAAAAGCGCGGCTTGTATCGCCAATGTGGAGTTAGCCGCCCGACGCAGCACCGCCGTTTTAACATCAGTCCGTCTGGGCAGGGTACGGCTACCCTCTTGCCACAATGCCCGGCCTCGCGCGGAAGGTCCTGATCTGCGCCGCAGTTGACGGCCTCATTCTGCATCCTCTTTCGTCCAAAAAAGACCAGCGAATGGCTCCGTCTGTCAAGATTCGATACGGCGACGCTGCGCTCTCTACGACCTCTCGAAATCTCGCAGCCGAGGCTACCGAGCCAACCCCGAGCTTTGAAGCTTTTGGCATTGTAGGTATGTTTATTACTTCATACGGTCTTTTATACGTGGGGTGCATGCAGTATATTGACAAGCTTCTTTCTAGGCCTGATTCTCGTTTCCAAATTCAGCTACCTCGTTTCCATCACCAAGCGGCAGCAGGTTGCAACAGTCCGTGGTAGCCCAATATATGTGGTGACTGAGGTTGCTTTGACCCCATGCGCAAGTTACGGCGAAGCTCGACGTTCGATAGAAACCACTATTGAACACCTAAAAGAACGTCCCCCGAGCTACATCACAGATGAAGAAGGCAGCGGGAACGACAGTGATGACAACAGCCACCATGGCGACGACGAAGACATCGAAGGTGCAGTTTGGGTTCAGGAGATGAACGATAGCCATCGTTTCGAAGGCGAAGTCGGAAAAGCAAACATAACCACAGCACCGACGCTGCCAGTCAAAGGCCACAAGCCCAACAACAGCATTGCCGAGGATGTCATTTCCCGGAGAGGAAGTTATGGCAGGTTTGCGCAAAGATGGTTCAGCCGGAGCGGATGGCTACAAGAGCAGAAACGGTTGATGGGTTTGACAGCGAGCAACAAACCTGTCGATGAAGAGGCAGTGGCTGAGCGCACTGCTACGACCGACACACCGGGCGACAAAGCTCTAGATGCGGCAACATCTTCCGACTCGTCACCACCCGGCAGCGCTCCGGCTGAACCATCGGATGGAGACCTGGCTAGCCTCTCGCGCACTGCAGATGAAACAGTGACGGAAACGGCATCCTCAACCCCACCGTTACAGCAGGGAGACCACAACAATGCAGAGGATGGCGCAGTCACCAGTCTTTTGCCGAAGTTACTGCGGACAACGCAGATGCTCTTTGGGGCGTCGAGATCGTTTTATTTTTCCTACGACTACGACATCACGCGCAGCGTCGCCAAGCAGCCGAAAACGCGGTGGAACGACCTTCCTTTGCACAAGCTGGTGGACACGATGTATTTTTGGAACCGACATGCCATCCAGCCCTTTATCGATGCCGGTGCGGATGCTCTTTCCCTACCACTCATGCAGGGTTTTGTTGGCCAGCGCTCGTTTGTCGTTGACAGCAATCCGCCACAGGTGGATGAGGCCGCCAAGGATTCCGTCGAGCTGAGCAATTTTGCGTACCGGGCTAGCACGGGGCCTTCGTCGCCTCTGCAAGCTACGAGTCCACGATCGTCTGCCGAGCTTGAGCACCGAGCTTCGGAGAAGGAATTTGACGTGACGCTGATCTCACGCAGGTCAGTGAGACGAGCAGGTCTTCGATACTTGCGCCGTGGTGTGGATGAGGACGGAAACGTCGCCAATGCTGTTGAAACAGAGCAGATTCTCTCCCCCTCTGTCGTGAATCAAATGGTTGAGTCGCAGCTACTTCCGGCACCACCTTTGAGCAAAACGTACTCTTTTGTTCAAGTCCGAGGCAGCATTCCTCTATTTTGGACACAATCTCCCTTCTCTTTGAAGCCTGTTCCCGTCATCCAGCACTCCCTCGAACTCAACTACGGTGCGCTGAAAAATCATTTTGACGGCCTCCGGAGAGAATACGGTAGCCTGCAAGTTGTCAACCTGGTTGAGAAGCACGGCGTCGAATCTGCCCTGGGTACGCAGCTTGAGAGGAGCGTGCAGAGGTACAATGACGATACCAACAGCGCACCTGGAGAGTCGACGTTGCCATTTGAATGGTTTGACTTCCACAGTGCGTGCAAGGGCATGAAGTTTGAGAATGTGTCTTTGCTGTTGGGCCGCTTGAGCAACAAGATCGAGCAAATGGGGAGCACCGTGGAGGAGACCGGAGCCGACAACACCGAGGCCGACGGCACTAGCAGCCCAGCAGGTACCATGGCGAGTAGCACCGGAAGCTACGGTCCCGGAAATCTCGTGCAGAGACAAAAGGGCGTGCTTCGCACCAACTGCATGGACTGCCTCGATCGAACCAATGTCTGCCAAAGCTCGTTTGCCAAGTTCATGCTAGACGCACAACTGAAAGAGCAAGGGTTCGATATGGCGGCGCAGCGTGACCAAGAGAACTCGTGGTTCAACACTTTGTGGGCAGACAACGGGGACGCGATATCTAAACAGTATGCCTCAACTGCGGCAATGAAAGGCGACTACACGCGGACGAGAAAGCGAGACTACCGCGGTGCCCTTACAGATGCTGGTCTGTCACTAACACGCTTTTTCAACGGGTATGTATTTTACATGGCAGTGCAGTTTTTTTCAGGCCGTTAAAGTTCTTTATGACAATTGCTAACACTGGGCCGTGACAGAATTGTCAACGACTTTTTCTTGCAGACTACAATCGATTTCTTGCTCGGCAATGTGACAGACAAGATCTTCGACGAGTTTGAAGCCAACATGCGGACAAAGGATCCGGCCATGTCGATGCAAAAGATGCGCGAACAGGCCGTCGATCTGTGCCAGCGGCGAGTCGTTGCCGATGAGTCCGAGGAGTTTATCGGAGGGTGGACGCTGATTGCACCGTACGACGCCGATATCAGTCTGACGACGCCACCTTTTGAAGAAGTTGTGCTGCTCGTGACAGACGCGGCCTTGTATTTGTGCCGCTTCGACTGGAACCTCGACAAGCTGTCGTCGTTTGAACGAGTCGAGCTCAGCCATATCGACAAGATCACCATCGGCACTTATATCGTGTCGACGGTATCGCCCATGCAAATGGACGAAGAGCGCAACGTCGGGTTTATGGTGTGGTACAGGCCCGGAAGAGACGATATAAGGAGGATCAACACGCGATCGTTGTCGAGCATGCACGTCGGGGACGGCACCGCAGGCAACACGGCGGAGCAGTCAACTTCGGCTGCCGAGGCGCTGTCGACGAGCATCGCCATGCTTTTGAATATTCGGCCCTCGTCACCCCCAGTGAAACGCCTAGCCTTCAAGGCGCTCTATTCCGAATCGTCTCTGGCACCATCAGCGACGGCATCGGCCGGCGAGACAATGGTCAAGAGAACAGAGAAAGATCAGATCGTGTCGATTGCGACTGAAATAGAGCGGCTTGTCCAACTGAGCCGGCCTGTTCCATTGGGCGTGGAGCGCAAGTCGATTATCGGCAAGGGCGACATTGTATCTGTTGCCGAGGCACGGAAGAGCACAGGATTGCTGGGGCACCTAGGCCACTCGTTGAAGAAGCTAGTGTGGGCATAATACGATAGCCATTCGCGAAAGAATACACGCAGGGTAATAATTTCTGGCTACCCTTCTTTTGGATGCTCGTTGCCATTCGTTTGCCATTCTCGGTGCATCTTTTGCGATTGGAAACGGCGCTTCACTTCCGCACGTAGAGGTGCATTTGATAACGCATGTCCTCGAGACGGATAGGATAGGACAGCGACGGCGACAGTCGAAACCAGGTGGCCTCGTCTTCATGCACTTTATCCCACCCCTCGGCGTCTTGCAGCAGGAACTTGTCCAGAAGCCACCGCATGGGGTACTTTCTAGCCTGCGATCCAACGGCCATCTCCGCGTAGCTGCCGGGGCTATCGACAACAAGCAAAGCGGTTCCTTGTGGCGCGGCAGCCGTGAGACGCAGCAAGAAGGTGGCGGCAGCTCCGAGGCCACCGGCCGTGAAGAGTTCGTTCAGCGTGAAGAACAATGTGATCAGGGTGGTCACTTTCTCGGCTGCGCCCCCGCCGATCATCTTGCCCATTTCTTCATCGTCCACCTTGAGAATGTCCCGCCAGCGAACGTCGACGTTGAACCGATTTGCAGGCTCCACCAAAGCCGGCACGCGGCCGTCGGAGCGAGCTTCGACCATGGAGGAACGCAACCGGTCAACCACACTCGCCCACGGCCCCGAGTCGACAAGAACGAGATCACCGGCCGCATCGGCTCCCGCCTCGCCACTTGTCAACATGGCACCGAACGCCACAATCTCAGCAGCCCCACCGCCGATGGCGACCATGCGAAGGGCCGGTTTCGTTTCCGTTTCTGTTTCCGTTTCTGGTTCCGTTTCCGTTCCAGAACCCGATGCGGCGCTCCAATGCTCTTGGACCACGGGACTGCAGAGGATCGATGCATAGCAAAGGGCGCGTGTCGGACTCCAGCGTGCAGCATAGGCATCGAGCGGCGGTGGAATGGCCTCGGACGTTGGCGGATCGACGGCAAACGTGACGCTCTTGCCATCCTTTTTGATGCTGCCGTCGACATCCTCGTCGGTCTGGGTGCCGGAAGGCTCATCTTTCTTTGATCCCCCATCGTCGACAGTACCAAAAGCGCCTGCAAAGTCTCGTTCGAACAAGGCTTGCTTCACGGCCTGCAGCGCTTCGTTGAGACGGTGTGAGGCCAGAGCGGGCGCAAGCGCTCGCCGAAACACGTCCAGTAGATCCTGCTGGAGGTTGTGTGAGAGCGTCTTTTGCTGATAGCCTGCCGGCGGCTTTTTGGCAGCTCCAGCGGCAGCAGCCTGGGTAGCAGCGCTTGCCGCAGAAGCTTTGGCTCCCGTCTTCAGATTCGGCGGTTTGTGGGCAGCGAGTTTGGAGTTTTTGGAGCTGCCCGCCGAATTGGTTCCGCGCAGCCTGGGCATTTTCTTTGTCTTATTCGGTGATGCATACAGCATGGCCGTCTTTGAAACGCTATCCAAGGAACAGGACAAACAACAGGCTTGTTAAAGCGAAGGCGGCTGTTGCGATATCAGTTTGTATATGTTGTATACACAACATATTATTAGATGAGACGAGGCTACAGCGATTTTTTGGGCCAGTGGGTGAACGATTAGGTAATGCGATTTTAAGTGGACAAGGCACAAGCGTTCCCCTGAAGCAACATCAACGACAACTCACTACGTATGTCCGTTGGCAGATACACGGCTTGTTTTTCATTTCAATTTCAATTTCAAAGTCAAAAAGGCAAGATAGAGGATACAAATTTCTTTGGGGGCTGCTTGCTGCTTATTAAATTCAAAAACATGGAATCACAGTATTCGTAGCACATTATTGTTTTATCCGATATATAGAGAGACGGTGTATCATGAGTGAGTCGCGCCTTCCCTCCGTTGCCGCCTCTCCCCGAGCCGGGATGTCTATTCTGGGCATCCCACGAACAAACTTGTTCTCCTAAACCGGCAGGTGGCGTCCTCAATATTCATTGAGACATTTGGTGAAAGGAAATGGCCTCTCCACCACAAGGGAAGGCTAGCCTTTCCCGCCAATCGCGTGGTAGCATTTGAGCAAGTGCCAGAGAGACGGGACAGACAGAAGGGAAACGACCTCGCTGCAGTGCGCCAGGCCCTCTATTTCCGTCCCTGCGCGCGGGTCGGTATGCGGCCAATTCGGCGCGCAGCAGTGTCCGATGACAGGACCTCCAAACCGAAATAGCGACGAACCGACATTGGCAGTTTGAATGGTCTACCCAATGCGGCAATTACGTGCAATCCCGCGTCCTTTGCTTGCCATGCTCGCTGTTTTGTGTCGTTGGCGTTGGCAGGCGGACAGCAGAGTTTTTATGCGTTTCAATGCCTCACAATTTGGTTTGCGCTTTCCTCGCTTGCCTCTCGACGCAGACGTTCACCCGAAGAAGGTGCCCCGTGCCGTGAGTGTGCTCGCATTCTGCTATTTGTGAGGATTCGGCCATTCGACTTTGCACTTATCTTCGACTTCCACCAAAGCCCCAACCCCAGCATTGGTCTACGAGACGAGACACAGTTTCATGCACGGCTGCCACATATCAGCTCCGCTGACTGAGGACCAGTCGCCGAGGTGCACAGCGTCTGGTCACGATGCAACACCCTCAGACGCCTCGCCTCTCCTCACCTCCCCCGGCATCCGTTCAGGCTTGGCCACTCCCTCCCTGTGCCCGCCTATGCCGTTCCTTGCTATACAGTGGCCTGTGTACGATATCTGTGTCTTGCGTGTCTGCTTGCATGCCGCCATTTGCCACCATAAAAGTGCAACGTTGTGTGTTAGATCAATAAGGTGCTCGCACTACGGAAGTACGGAGTACGACAACGTGAGCCTGCCCTCACCTTGCACGCGCCAAACAACACCATACAACGCGTCATCTTCCGCATGTGCCTGGAGGCAAGCACTCCCAGATCAGGCACATGGTTGATGGTCGGAAAAGGCGCGATAGGAAATAAAAAGACCGCATGCTGCCGGCGTTGCTGCCGAGTCCGTATATCTCGAATCGATGCTTACCACATCGCGCCTTCCGTTAAGTCAGCCTTTGTAAGTGGCGACAAATTGGGCAGTTCGGAGGTAAATGACAGGCACTGGCACTGAGATGGGGCAGGAACGATCCCCGGCTACGGCAATGGAAACGTGGGCAGACCAATTCGGGAGGGCTGGAAGGAGTAAACCAAGACACACCAAAGAAATGTACGAGAGAGAGAGCGAGAGCCAGAAGAAGAGATACAAAACAAAAAATAAAGCTGTTCCCTCATATACCCGCTGCCTTTCAAGTCTAAAGGCAAACGGTTTGGCCGGATAAAAGTGCTGATCGAGAAAGGTGGGACAGAGGTGACTAATATCAGTCCACCACAACACCCCACCGAGCCCACCCCCAACAAAGTGCTGGTCGTTGGTATGGAGTTGGCATTATGGACCAGAGCGTTTCCACTTTGACAAAGGCGCATTTCAGGTTCCTGCCCCTCTTCACCAGCTCCCCAGCGCAACGTCTCCGGCCCTGCTTCGTTGGTGGGGGAGGAAGCGACATTATCCGCCGGGTATTCTTGAGCATAGCTTTTTTTTCGTCCGATTATGGAGCTTTGCTACGCTTCCTGTTCGTAGTTCAGTTGCCATCGGCTTTTGTCCAGGACGTTTAGGTGCTTGGCTCGACGGTAGTATCTATTCGCTCAGGTCCTGCCTCGCACCAGTGAATAGCCCTATTGACCATCGTCAGATACGGAAGCGGCTGTATCTTACTATTGCGTAGGGTGGTAGCTTCCTGATCCAGGCGCGTTTTCGCTCGCTGGTTCTTTCCCCTCAGCACCCCCCCTCCATCCCGACCGGGTTGCTCGTCATTGCCAGATCCGCCCCTTCCAACCCAGGGACGGACGAAGGCAAAACCAATTATTTCATTTTATTATTATTTTATTTGCTTGGGTCCCTTCCTGCTGTTTTAAGTTTTTTTGGCTTTGTCTCGTCTTCCTGCCGCTTTCGTTTGTCCCTCCTTGCCCTCTTTCCTCTTTCCTCGTTCGTCTCTTTCTCTTTCTTTTTCTTTCCCTTCTCTTTTCTCCTTTTCTCTTCCTCCATCCCATCTCCAACCAACATCGCAAGCTTCTTCTATAACCCCCATTGACATTTTGCAACTCAACATCATCATGGGTTTCACCGACGTCGACCAGCTGACCGTGAACACGATCCGTGTCCTGGCTGTAAGTAGTTCCCCGAAAAACTTGCCCCGCCCCCTCACCACTCTCAAACGGCGCGTCTCAATCTTTCATCACGGCCTCAATGCTTGCCGGCCGCGTACATAGCCTCAGAAGCTTCAATTCTCTGTTTGACAAGCAATATGAGCTTTCAATATCCCTGGTTCGGCCGTGGACCGTTGATTGGCCGCACTTCCTCTACACGCTTGCTTTCCTCTTCTCTCAACCCCTCCGACCTATGCCAACATGACATCATCGTCATTCTTGTTGTCTTTCATCTAAACAGCTACATTAACACCTTTTTTCTTCTGCTCTCTAGGCTGATGCTACCGCTCGCGCCAACTCCGGTCACCCCGGTGCCCCGATGTAAGTTGATTTACGCCGCCCGCCGGCCCTGGAAGAGCTTCCGGTTCGGTGGATCAACACACTCGTTTCGGCCGACTTTGTTTGTTGCTATACGCGAGCTGCAGCTGCAGATGCTCTGTGCATCGCTTGGCGGCTTCAATTCGCCACATCGCGGGGCATTGTCGCGTTGTCGTATTATCGCTGCTAAACACCCAAAGAAACAAAACAGGGGCGTGGATGGCTAACCAATTGTTTGCACAGGGGCATGGCGCCGGTCGCCCAGGTTCTCTGGAACAACATTATGCGCTTCAACCCCAAGAACCCCCACTGGGTGAACCGCGATCGTTTCGTCCTCTCGTAAGCATGACAATACCCTTTTTCTTCATATCTAGTTGCGCCACAACTCGAGCAACGAGAGCTCCGTGCTGACCCGCAAACGTACAGGAACGGCCACGGCTGCATGCTCCAGTATGCTCTGCTGCACCTGTATGGCTTCGGCCTGACCATTGATGACCTGAAGGCTTTCCGCGTAAGTTGAACAGCTCCATTTGACTCGTCCCAGGGAATGACGACTGGTTTGTCGGTTTAACAGGCTAACCGATTCCACAGTCAGTCGACAGCATCACCCCCGGCCATCCCGAGTCCCATGACACCCCCGGTATTGAGGTCACCACCGGTCCTCTCGGCCAGGGTATCTGCAATGCCGTCGGCCTGGCCATTGCCCAGGCTCACACTGCCGCCACTTTCAACCGTGACGGTTTCGACCTGATCAACAACTACACCTACTGCTTCCTGGGTGATGGCTGCTTGATGGAGGGTGTTTCCAGCGAGGCCTCGTCTCTCGCCGGTCACCTGCAGCTCGGCAACCTGATTGCCGTCTACGACGACAACCACATCTCCATTGATGGTGATACCAACTGCGCCTTCACGGAAGACGTCGTCAAGCGGTACGAGGCCTACGGCTGGCACGTCATCGTCGTCGCTGACGGCGACCACAACCTTGAGGGCATCTACTCCGCCATCAAGGAGGCCCAGTCCGTCAAGGACAAGCCCACCCTGATCAAGCTCCGCACCATCATTGGTTTCGGCTCCCTGCAGCAGGGCACCCACGGTGTCCACGGCTCGCCCCTCAAGGCCGACGACATCAAGCAGCTCAAGGAGAAGTTCGGCTTCAACCCCGACGAGAGCTTCGCTGTCCCCCAGGCCGTCTACGACCTGACCGCCAAGAAGGTCGCCGAGGGTGCCGCCGCGGAGAACGAGTGGAACTCTCTGTTCGCCAAGTACGCCGAGAAGTACCCCGCCGAGCACGCCGACCTGACCCGCCGCCTGAAGGGCGACCTGCCTGAGGGCTGGGAGAAGAAGCTGCCCGTCTACACCCCGACGGACGCCGCCGTTGCCTCGCGCAAGCTGTCCGAGGGTGTCCTCAGCAAGATCGAGGAGATCATCCCCGAGCTCATCGGTGGCTCGGCCGATCTGACGACCTCCAACTTGACCCGCTGGAAGGGCGCTGTGGACTTCCAGCCCCCCTCGACTGGCCTTGGTGACTACTCTGGTCGCTACATCCGCTACGGTGTCCGTGAGCACGGTATGGGTGCCATCATGAACGGCCTGGCTGCCTACGGCACCCTGATCCCCTACGGCGGTACTTTCCTGAACTTCGTCTCGTACGGTGCTGGCGCCGTGCGTCTGTCGGCCCTATCGCGTGTCCGCGTCATCTGGGTCGCCACCCACGACTCCATTGGTCTGGGTGAGGATGGCCCGACCCACCAGCCGATCGAGACCCTGGCTCACTTCCGCGCCCTGCCCAACTGCATGGTGTGGCGCCCGGCCGACGGCAACGAGACGAGCGCTGCCTACTACGTCGCTCTGACCTCCAAGCACACCCCCAGCATCATGGCCCTGTCTCGCCAGAACCTGCCCCAGCTGGAGAACTCGACCATCGAGCACGCCATCAAGGGCGGCTACGTTGTCCACGAGGACAAGAGCGCCAACATCACCCTGGTCTCGACCGGTTCCGAGGTCGGCATCTGCGTTGAGGCCGTCAAGTACCTGGCCGAGAACCACAACGTCAAGGCCCGCGTTGTCTCCCTGCCCTGCTTCGAGGTCTTTGATGCCCAGCCCAAGGAGTACCGCCTGAGCGTCCTGCCCGATGGCATCCCGTCGCTGTCCGTCGAGGTCATGAGCACCATGGGCTGGGAGCGCTACACTCACGAGCAGTTCGGCCTGAACCGCTTCGGTGCCTCTGGCCCGTACAAGGATGTCTACAAGGTGAGTTACCCAGCAACGCTGCTGTTCAGAACTACTGCAGATGTATCTTCTCGTTTGCTTGTATTTTCTACAGAAACTAACCAATCACAGAAATTCGAGTTCACCCCGGAGGGCATCTCCAAGCGTGCCGTCGCCACCATCGACTACTGGAAGGACGTCCCCAACATCCGCTCGCCCGTCAACCGTGCCTTCCAGCAGCTCATCTAAGTGCTGTTAGAGCAAAAAAGAGAACAGGTAAGATAAAAGTTCGAAATGAGAACCATCCGGACTGGTTTTGTCGGGTCTCGGCTTAGGGCACCTGGTGTTATGCAGTTGATGCCGAGTTTTTCGACTTTCGATGTTTTTTTTTTGTTTTTATTTGTTTTAAATTTCATTTTGACCTTATTTCTTCTTGTCCGCTGTTTTCGTAATATACACCAAGTAAAGTAGGCACATAGATAGACCCCCTGTGAAGAAAATTGATGCCAGGTGCTTTTTGGTCTACCAAATAACCCGACACCTAAACCCATTGTGGAGGGCATCGGGTTGTGAGCCTGAGATACGCCTCGCCCTGTCTTTTGTCGTAAGAATATATGTACATTTTAAGCTTGTATATACAGGAAGGGAGCCACAAGTCGGACGGCCTCATCCTTTCGACCCTTCACTCCGTTGGCCCTTGGCCTTTAGCTTTGCCATCATTGCCTCCTCCGGCCCTGTGCGGCCAATTCTTGCTGCACGGCCAGACCCACGCGTTCTAAGCGAGCGGTTGCCTGCCGCGCATCTCCGAGCGACTGCGCATCCGGTGCGGCAACCAATCCCACGAGTAGCGGAGCACGGCCGCCTGCCGCGTCCTCTGCGTCGTTGTCCCTGCCGAGGTCAGTCGTTTCGCCTTGGCCATTGGTTCCCACTTGGTTCACCGTCGCCTCCTGTCCCTGTCCTGGTGAAGATGCAGTTGATGGTCCAGATGGTCCGGATGCGGCGTGGCGCCGCCGCTGCTGCTGCTGCGGGTCCAAAAAGTTGTCAATGACCACACTGCCGGTGCTGTACGTGACCACCATGTGTTCCGGCGGCGTCAGACCCAAGGCGGCCAGCAGCGACGCCGTCGAGCCGTCGAGCCCACCTGCGTCCGAGGCCTGCGGCAGGTCGGCACCGAGACCCAGTCGGGCGGCCGCATCCCGCGCGCGGAGCGCCGTGGCCGCCAGGTCGTCCAGAGCAGCGGCCCGCTGTTGGCGGGTGGGCTTTGTGGCGCTATCCGATGTACTTGCATTGACATTTTCATTTTCATTTCCGTTGACAGTGGCATTGGCGCCGTCCTCATCGCCGTCTTCCTCGTCTCGGCCCCATCCGCTGGCCGACGAGACAATGGGTGTCCGGGTCTGGTCCGTCAGGTAGATGGCCAAGTCTGGAAACTGGCGTGGAAGGGCAGCCATTGTCCGGAAGAGGGCAGGGGACCAAATGGGATTGGAGAACAGAGGAGAGGAATCGTATGGGGAGAAAATCCAAGAATGGGGTTGTCCTTTTGGCTGGCTTGCGCTTATGCCTGGTCCATTTGTCGTTTGTTGTGGCGTCTGCGGTCTGTCGTCCTCGGGGGGTATGTCCGTTTTGAGTGTCGTGCTGGCGGAGTTTAAGATACGTCGTTAAGAGCATATCCAATGGATTGTGGATTGAGAGAGAGAAATCCGCCCAGAATATGGGATCATCTCTTTTGTACCCTTGTGCTTATGTTGGGAAAGGGCTTCCCTCATGGCTATCTGGTCTCAGGGTGCGCTCTTTCTTTCAAGGGCTCTCGGTTGTCGCAAACCGGGGAAGGAACGTCTTTGTATTCAATGCGCTTAATTCGGTGCCAACTTTTTTATGTTGTTCGCGGGGCAAGAGCGCTAGGAAATGGTATGGAAGGAGCGGACGAGGCGGGGGAAAACAAAATGGCCACACTAAAACAGCTACTTCGTAGGTTCGCAATTCTTGGGAGATCCACCAACCAGGGTCCTGTGTACTTCCGCTGTAATTTGCGACAGTCTTTCTGCATGTCGCTTGCCATGTTGTAAGTACAGTGCTTAATATATTTGAAGCTTGGGCTTACGAGCAATCTCAACCTGAATAAGTTTGCATCTTACGTAGAGCCCAGAAACGCGCTAACCGGTCGGCTCCACAATCACGTGCCTTTCCACCACTGGGAAGGAGCTATTCGCTACAACTACGCAAGGGCTGAGAAGGAGCTCTTTGGCTTACTAGCCGTTTTAAGTGACGTGTTTAGAAGCCATGACCAAATACACCACTCCGTAACTCCAGCTCGAAATAGTGTTGCACTGCTTCCACAATCCTCACCTGTACGAAGATTGGGACACTCAGAGTACGACACACACGATCACGACCACCACACGACTTTGTTTTCAATAACGGCTGTATTTCGACATTCGACTTAGCCTTACGGTGCGAATTGACTCGATTGCGGGTGTGCCTCCAGTCAGCTGCCGCCCTCCAATAGCTCACGATGGCGGATGACGACAAGGCAAAGGCCGAGAAGCTCGCCGCGGCCAAGAAGCGTGTCGAAGCACTCAAGAAGAAGAAGCAGGCCGGTGGTGCGGCTGGTGCAGCTGGCGCCTCCGGGAAGAAGGGTGCCAAGAAGGACAAGGCAGCCAGCGATGCCAAGGCGGTAGAAGACGAGGAGGCCGAGGAGCCGACCGCTGAAGACGACAAGGAAGAGGCTGCGGAGGCCAAGGAGGAAACCAAGAAGGAGACTGCGGACGGCACAGACAAGACCGACAAGACCGATAAGACAGGCAAGACAGACAAGACAGACAAGACAGGCAAGACAGATACGGCCGCAGGGAAAAGCGACAAGAAGAAGGGCAAGAAAGGTGCCAAGAAGGACGACAAGGACGAGGAGGACAATGTCGACGAAGATGCCGACAAAGAGAAGGAAGACACAAAGACCGACGACAAGGCCGAAGAAGATGACATCGTCGGCGAACCTACCTCGCCCAAAGGAGCGGTACCCTCCCTGGCCGAGCAGTCGCGTTTGCGCTCCGCATCCTTCCGCCATGGTGGCCCCCTGAGCCCCGGCGCCGATGGTGAGACTGCGGCCGACATCTATCGCAAGCAGGCTTCGCGCATTGAAGAGCTCGAGCGCCAAAACAAGCGCCTGACAAAGGAGAATGCCGATGCTGAGAAGCGCTGGCAAAAGGCCGAGGATGCCCTGGAGGACATCCGCGACAGCACCGGCGGCGACTCATCCGAGGTGTCCAAACTGGTCAGCCCTCCCAGCCATCCATCCTAGCGTGAAATTGTATCTACATGTATTGGATCACAGAGCTAACAACGTGACGATACAGAAATCCCAGATCGCTGCCCTCACGCGCCAAAACACCCAACTCCAGGCCCGGTCGCGCCACGGCTCGTCACCCTCTATGAGCGTGAACTCTCCACCAACATCTGAGCTCGAGACGCAGCTCAAGTCAAAGTCGCAGACCATTGAGACAATGGAGCTAGAAATGTCGCGGCTACGTGCGCAAGTCGAGCGGTTGTCGATGGGCGGCGCCGGCAGAGAGGACGACGAAGAGGGCGGTGACAACGGCAGCCATGCGCCAAAGCGCAGCCGCCAAGAACAGGTTGCTGCGCTCGAGGAAAAGCTAGAGCGTGCCGAGAAGGCTGCCGGCACGGCCCAGCGCGAGCTGGCCGAGCTGAAGCGCAACCTAGACCGCACATCGGAAAAGGCCGTTCGCGAGGGCAGCGCCCGGACGAGCGCTGAGACCAAGCTCAAGACCCTGGAGAAGGAGACCGAGGACCTGCGCACCGAGCGCGACGAGCTGACCAAGAAGGTCGACAGCCTCGAGAAAAAGGTCACCACGCTTACGACGCTGCACAAGGAGCACGATGCGCGGACACAGGCCCTGCGCCGTGACAAGGAGCGCGGCGACAAGGACCTCGCCGAGGCCCGCACGCGCCTCGAGCGCGTCGAGGCCGAGAACCTGCGGCTGCGCAAGTCCGACGCGCGCGACGGCGGCGGCACCGACGACGAGCACCTGGACGAGCTGCTCGCGAGCTCGCCCGAGGCCAGCGAGCGCATTGAGCAGCTGGACCGCCGCGTGCGCGAGCTGGAGGCCGAGAACACGAACCTGCGCCACGGCATCTGGCACGAGCGCCGGAAAGAGCTGCAGGTAGGCCCCGACGACACACCGGGCGGTGCCGGCGGCAGCCGCCACTTTAGCGATGTGGATCTGTCGCCGCTGGGCGGCAGCGGTGGCGGCAAGAAGGGCCATGGCGGTTCTGTGAGTGGCGGCGCCAGCGGTGCTCTCGGCGACTTCTTCTCTGTCCTGACGGGCGGTGGCGGCGACCACCACGGCCATGGGCACCATGGGCACCATGGGCACGACGACGACGGCCTGCTAGACGACGACGATGACATGGACTTTGACGAGGAGGCATTCCGACGGGCACAAGAGGAAGAGGCGCGGCAGCGCCTCGAGCGCGTACGGGAGGCCAAGCGGGCACTCAAGAACTGGGAAGGCTGGCGGCTGGACCTGGTGGAAAGCCGGCAAGGCGGTGCCGAGGGCATTGGGCCGATCTTTGACATCTAGGACAGGACAAACAACAGTCCGAGAATCAAGCAATCAGGGGTTTTGTATGTATGACTAGTGGGTGGCTTCTGGGAGTCTAGTGTATTCAGGTTGTTTTGTATTTTGTGAGTGCGTGTGTCATTCACCTACTGTGATTGCAACTGTGCTTACGATTTTACTGTCAAGCTCGAAGGAAAATAGATATGACACGACACCAAAGACAGTTATGGTTTTTATGCATCTCAATTTTGTTTAGTAAATGTGCATCTAGATTGATTGAGATCTTCGAAAGTTGGATTTTATACAGTCTTTACAAGGTCGTGAGAGAAGAGTCAAAAGGTGAAGAGGTCGTGTGTCTCGTGACGCATATAATAACAAAAGTGGGCGAAATATACAGTGACATATTGACAAATAGAAAAGGATATGTAGATGGAGCAGAGATAGAAGCGTTGGGAGGATTTGAGGTGTACAAGAGAGGAAAGAAACCGCAATGTTGAAGAGGAAGGATAAGAAATAACTTGGGCAACCTTGGCCATGGAAAGTGTCCCGTCTATGTACCAAACTAGCAGCCTTAACCAAAACCATCAAGAGGGGAATAATACCAAGCAACGAAACGCCAGCTGTAAACCAATGGGCGGCCGGCCCTTAAACAGAAAAAGTAGAGATGGTGAGATGGCGTAAACTCCTTTCCATGCATGGCCGTGTACAACAGCGGGCAGACACTGTTGTCCCGCCAGATACGAAAGACAGAGGAAATGTGTCGTAAGAAAATAGGTGCAGGTATAGGGGAGTACGAACGTCAAAGCTCGCTATAAGTAGAAACAAACAAGAAACAAATAGGTTGTACAAGGTCGATGAGAAAACACAAATATGAATGGGGGCGAAGAGGGGGGTGGAGTTTGGAGAAGGCGAAGGTGCAGCGATACGAAAACGCAGATGGCGAAATTGCTTAGCTCAGAACATCTTCCAGTTCCTGCTCTTGTGGCTGTGGCTGGTCGGTTTGTTGCTGCTGCTGCTGCTGTTGCTGTTGCTGCTGCTGCCCCTCCTGCTGGCCGTTCTGCACCGACTTCTCCAACTGCTCCGGCTGGCGCTGCTGGTTAAGCTCGTTGAGCTGTTGCTGCGCAGCCGCCGAGCGCTGCAAGGCCGTGATTTGCTGCATCATGGCAAGGGTCTGGCGCTTCTGAAGCTCGACCTGCCGCCGCAGTTCCTCGTTCTCGAGCCGCACCCTCTTCATCTCTTCGCGGAGATCGTGGCTGCCGATGCTACGATGGCCGTTGTGGTTGCCGTAGTCGCCGAGGTGGCCGCTGCTCACGAGGCCATCTTCGTCAACCACATCCTCGTCGTCACCCATGAGCGAAGAAGCTGTCCTCTTACGGCCTCGGGGCAACAGCAGACCGAGGCTCTCCATCGTCTTGGCATCGTCGTTGTCGTCGGAGAGCAGTGAGGGCAGACCGGCAACGGCATTGGCCGCCGCTGCGGCGGCAGCAGCAGCAGCAGCAGCATTATTGTTGCTGTTCCCCTTATTGTTGTTGTTGTTGCTCTCGGAGTTGGAGTTGCTCTTGTCGTAGTTGGGGCCGGCATCGGCGCTCTGAGGAGGGCTGTTTGGCAGAACAGCGGCCAGTGACCGAATTACATTCATGCTCAGCAGGCCGTTGTTGGCCTGGCTCAGCAGCGCGTCGGCAGTAGCGTTGCTTCCAATGATGGGAAGGGCCGAGGTTGCGGAAGTCGTGCCGGGAGACAGGTTGAGATGGACACGGCGCATGTGCTCATTCAAGTTCTCCTGGCGCGAGAAGCCCTTGCCGGAGAAGCGCTTGCAAGTTTGGTAAGGACAGTGGAGCGGGTTGCGCGGTCCACCATGCTTGCCGTGGACCTCGCGTTCGTGGCGAAGCAAGCCTCCCGAGTACGTGAATCCAGGCAGCTTTTCGCAGCCGTCGACGACACAGCGGTAGGGCCGCTCGTGCTTGTCCATGTGCTTGTTGTATTCACACTTGCGGCCAAACTGCTGTGTCTCTTCTGTGCAATGAGGCCACGTGCACTGGTATAGCCCCTGACTGTTCTTCTGCACGTCGCGTTCCGGTTTGGGAATCGGCTTGATGCGGTAGGATCCGTGGGTGGTCGTCGGGCCGGGCGACGGTGACGAGGCGCCTTTGATCGATAGTGGCGAAGTCGGTCCAAGCGAGGCGGGCTGGAGAGTCTGGGCGGAAGAGGTGCTGTGCGAGTTGTGCCGTGGCGCGGACATCCGTGCGGCTATTCCTGCGGCGGCGGCGACGCGTGCGGCTTCGGCCTCGGCGACTGCAATGTTGGCGGCGGCGGCAGCCGCAGCCGCAGCCGCAGCGGCGGAGCTCATGTCGGAGGAGCTCGGCAGGCCGTGGGGTGTGTTATCGCCTACACTATCGTCGCCCACAACAACGTCGTCAACGTCGAGATGCGTGTCGTCGTCGAGGAGAGATGGCTTGCTCGAAGCCAGTATGGACTGTTCGCGAGGGTGATAGCTGACAGCGACGGCGGCCGCAAGATCACTTACGTCACCGACGTCGTGCATAACTGCAGTCACATTATTGTCGTCAGCCTCGCCGTACCGGTCCACTTCGTCGTCGGCCTGGTCCATGTTGGGATAGTTCTCGTCCTGGAGAAAGGAACGGTGCCTGGACTCAAACACGATGCTCATAGTGGCGCGCGGGGGCGTGAACAAATTAAAAGAGAAAATGAAAGAGAAAAAATGAAAAAGAAAAGTGACCGTGAACGTGAACGTGAACGTGAAAACGAGAGGGAGATGGCGTTTACGCGAAGCCGGGGACCAGTGACAACGAGAATAAAATAGCCGGTCGATCCACCAGGCTACCAACCAAAGAGAAGAAATGATGTGAGATGGAACAAGGAGCAAGAGCAAAATAGCGTGGTAGAAGGATGCGTAAGAATAAATGTAAGAAAAAAGGTAAGAAAATATATGAAAAAAGTAAGCCGAACAAGCGTGCAGGAGGAGGATGTGCGAGAGAGGGGCGAAGTGTGAGAGTCGAAGAGAGACACGGAAAGCGTATGCTCAAAAAGTCAAGTACAGTTCAAACGCCGGTATGACAAAGACAAACGGAGAAGAATGCCGGACGTCCAGAGCTTTCCACCGACGTGACGTGCAACGACTTGGTCGTCGTGAATGCGGTCCGCGCACGCGTTGTTTGCTGATCGGGCTTGTGGCGTAACCAAAAAAGAAAAAAGACACCTTTTTGGAGCTGGGTTAGGAGCCTTTCGAGCTGTCTGCTGCTTTTTGGACTTGGTTTGTCACTCCGTCACAGCGAGGGCGGCTGGGATGTGAAGGAGCACACGGGTAAAGGGCAAGAGTCTGGACTGCGGCAACAAACAAAAAAGGGCTATTTGGTAGCAATGAGCAGGTCAGCGACTGTGGTGGTGCGTAATGGTGGTGTTGGAGGTGGTGGTGATAATGGGAGCCTGAGGTTGTAAATGTTTGGAGGAGAGCGAAACGAAGAAAAACAAGGCATCAATTTTTGCAGGTGAGGTTTTGGGGGGGAATGGTGCGGGTTTTGCAGTAAATGGGAAAGTGGGAAAGTGCGGACGGACACGGAACAGGGGTCGTGTTTTTGTGTGAGGTGGCGTTGCGTCGCGGCTTCCCGGCTTGGATAGTTTCCGCCACTGCCTGGCGAAGGTCAACGTGGACGATTCGTCAGCAGTGGGAGATGGGAAAGAGCGACTGCCAAGACGAAACAATGTGAGAGACCAGGTAACGTGACCATAAGTTGAGTCAACTTCAAGCCACACACAGCCTCAAGTAGAGAGTGGGGCCTGGACTTCAGGCCTTGGGCCTCAGCAAAGGCCCCCAAAGGAGGCCCCCGTTGGGGGTTGTGTCTGCCTAAGGGGGCGAAGTCGGCAGCTAAAGCTTAAAGTGACTGGCGCCGATTGCAGTGCCTAGCACGTTGACGACAACAACACGATCCAAGGAGGGCGACTTCTCCCAACAAGCGAGCGGCAAATTCAAAGCAAAAAGGATAGGGAGCGGGAGCGGAATGAAAAGTTAGGAAGGACTCGAAAGAAAACAGAAGAAAGGCTTAGAACAAATAAAAAAAAATGAACAAGAAGGAGAAAAGAAAACCCACGAACCTGAGAATTTGCCTCTTCAAGAGAACAGAACAGCTTTCGTGTTGTCAGTTTCCACTTGATATCGGCGACCTCGGGCAAGCACGAGGGAGCAGGAGCTGGCTATACCTGTATGCCGATACGTCCGTCCTATATGCTGCTCCGATGTGCTGGTAAGACACGTCACAAGAAATACAGCCACGTCCTGTTTCTTTTTTTTGGTGGCGGATGTCGGGTGGCCGGGTTCGGCAGCTTGCGTGTTTTCTTATTGTTTAGGCTGTGAATATAGCTTGCGTTGGGACGTTGAGAGACGTAAGATAGGATGAGGATGGTGTTGTTGATTATGTCGTGGATGCTGGATACAGAAGCTGGGGCGGATGATACGGCTATTTTTGCTGGCAAAGCCTGATATCTCGGCTGTGCTTTGATTCTTGTCTTGTCTTCACGACTCATCTTTTATTCCACCGTTGCACGAAAGGAACGGTGGGGATGCCTCGATTTTAATAGTCGAGACCGTGAGGAGGTTTACACGCTCATGGGTGTCGGACAGCAAGAGGGCCTAACAGGCAGAGACCACAGGTCCTGGGAACACGGCAAGCTTTCCACATCCTCTCCACCCAAGTGGGGAACTCTCGAGGCTGTTGATCGCTTCGTTTTGGACAGAGCTTTTCTTGACCTTCACTGGCAGTCAGTCTGACAAGGAATCGACGAGGGGGGGGGGGGTTGCTGTCCAAGAAAGAAAAGTGTTGGCATTTTACGTAGTGCCGGTGACTCATGAATACGCTGAAAGTCTACAGCAAGTCAGGTATATTCGTCCCATACTCTGTGTGCGGTTGTGCTTTCGTCTTTTTTTTTGCTTTTATTGAGTTTTTACTTTCTTTCTTCTTCTTTTTTTCTTTTCATTTTCACGTCCTGTTTTGTTTCGTCTTTCTTCGTTTAGCCTTCGTTCGGCCTTCGTTAGGGTTCACGTGGGTTGCACACAACCCCGGGCCATATCTTGGCCTCAACATGAGGCCTCTCTCTGCCTCGTCGTCTTTTCCTCTCCCTTTGTATCTCTCCTGCCATGTGCTGGTTCGTCATTTTATGAGGCAACCGTTGACACACACCCGATCCCATTTTGTCGCGTGTACTTTGACGTGGTTCTTGCTATTTTTCTCTCTCTCTCTCTCTTCCTGCAACGACATGTTTATTCACAATTTTCCTGTCATATCGTAGGGTTCATGTCATTTAAATTTGTAAACAGACCCGTTTTGCTTCTAGATGCGTATTTGTGATAGTTCACCACTGCCGCACGAAAGACACAAACTGAACTCATAAGCTCATATAAGTGTTTCGTACACCGTAGTCCATCGTACAGACATTCTATCTGCCTCATACGTATTAGGCAACAGGGGCTATTCTAGTCTCGTGGCACCGATGGATTGAGTGATTCTGGACAGCTGCTGCAAGGCTGTCTAGCTTTGCGACGGTCCGACAGTCATTGTCTTGTTGGCGTCTCGTTCTCCCTATTTGATATCCGGATTGAGAAATTTACGTGCTGATGCCACAGCCCTATGAGCAACACAAAACACGAGCATGGGCCCCATGCACCACCGAGTCATAAAGGCACTGGCATATTGCCTGTCTGTCCTGATCCTGTGTGTTTTATGGTGCACTCTGTAGGCCTTGAGCAAAGCGTATGCCCCAGAGATGTAAAAGTGAGAAAATAAACACTGCAAAACGGCCGGTACATGCACTCACTTTGCCGTGCTCGCATTTCACGTTTCCATTTATTTTCTCTTTCTATCGGTTAAGTTGCCATATCTTGCGACGTGCTCATGTGCACTTTAAGGACACACTAAAGGCAACAGTCATACTATACAACACGGCTGTCAACTAGCCAGGCAACAAGGCGAATGCTCGTTGGCCAGATGTTCTCTCGAAGCACGTCCACCATTACCGATGCGCGCATCACGGCTGGTGGTGGAGGGTCACACTCCAGCTATATTGGTCCAGAGGTTTAGATATCTCCTCTGTTGAATTTTCTCTAGTTTTCATTTGCTCAGCGTCAACCATCACAGAGCCCTCCGCATTTGCCTCGAAAAACCATAGGACCTGGAGCCTTGCATCGACGCCGCGATGCCACATGGACCACCTTACCCTGGACTGACACTGATGACTCTAAACACACAAGAGACTTTAACCAGGTTGACAAATACAGCCGCTCAGCCAACGAAGTTGTAGACGCCTTGCTGTACGAAAGGCGGCTTAGGCCGATTTACTACAGCCAAGAACCTGCCTTTATCAGTGAATGACAAAAAAAGCCAAAAACACAATAAATGACGCATCTATCCCAAACTGTTTGCATCCTCGCTCGCCATCCTTGCCCGTTTTACACCGACACGAGCAGTGCGAAGCCGCCCATGGTCAATACCGACCCCAAGGTGAGGCCGTCCTCGAAGTGTGTAAGTCGCTCCTTCCCGCCATGGCAGCCTAGTCTCCCCCCCCACATTATGGCTCCCCTTCAGACACTTATTGTGCAGCGACACCGGTTATTCGGTCTTGGGTCGCATTCTCTCTCCTTGTTCCCGAAACGTCTTTGAGAACCAGTAAATTGTGTTCGGCGGCCGCAAATCATAGAAGACATGATACTTAGGAGGTGGTGACTGAACGAGTACGCAGGTCAGGCGGTAAGCCAATCATCATTCGCACTCTCTCTCCTACTGGCCCAAAGAGGAAATAATGATTGGCCAGAACAAGCGGGCCGCTGGAACAGGTCGCTCATGCCCGATGACTTTCAAATTGTGACACTCCTTCCCAAGTAGTCGTATTCTGACACGCTGTATTATGACGTTCTACATACATTACGAAGTCCTGCCGTGCATATCTTCTTACTTTCACACCCTCTGTCACCTCTTTCATTTTTCATCCTCACCGACTCGCCGAAGCATACCAGGTTCTAGTCACTAATACGACGAACGCACGGTCAGGCCTCAGGCACACTCAAATACCCTGGCGGCTAGCCTTAGATGTGAGGCTGAGCATCGCCCACCCGTGTTGTAGTCAAATGAACTTGCTGGCAAACCAATTGTCAACAATGCCTAGCCAATACACTTGCGGTAAGGCAGGCCTTTTTTTTCAAGGTTGTCTATCCCTGTCGCGCGTCTGAGAATATCGATCCCAGAGCGCAAGGCAGAGCAAACAGGGCGGTCGTTTACTGGCGCTTCTGTGAATTGAAATGATTGGCCATTAAGTCGTGTTGTTAATTTCACCCCTCCCTGCCTATGGAATCATGCCCGGTGAGTCGAACCCGTCGCTTGCACAGACGACGTACCAGCGCGAGGCTGATGAATAAGGCTGCCACGTTTGTGACCTCGTGGCTCCAGTGAAGCTCAAAACGGTTTCCATCGCGAATCAGACGAACATACGACTTTTAATCGACAAAGGTATAGGCAAACATCTCACAGCATGGTACGATAGAGCCGTGGGAACGAATGCATGAGATGGAATACGGCCAGGTCAGCGGACGTAGTATGCAGGACTTGTGGTCTCTTATAATCGTAAATAAGACTCACAAAACGCAACTTTGATGGCGTCATCAGGTTATCGGGCATCGTGAAAGGACTTACGACCGACATCATTGGTAAGCCCTCCTAGGACTTACTTGCGCGACTGTCCTACCTGTAGCCTTGTTCGACTGGGCCTGGGCAGCTATGGACAACTCTGTGAACTAAACCGAAGACATCGAAGCGAGAACGAGACGGAATAAAAATATGACGGATTGAAACATGCATTCAACCAATCGATGATGACTCTGCCGAGCTCCTGCAGAGACAGCCATTCACAAAGCAGTATTCCGTGTTGGATACCCGTGGTCTGGTCCGTGCCTGGCGTTCTTCGGAACCATCAACAGACTCTCACCCGGTGAGATTTCTCCGCATGTGCTACAGCTTTTGGAGAGTGGAAGCTTCCAGGGGCAGGTTGGGTCGTCGTGGGATCCTATTCATGGCTTCCCCGCTAGTTATAACCCGAAAGGGTAACCGAAAACGGTTCAGAAAACTTTCCTCTGAAAAAGGCAGGCGTCAGCGAGGGCAGACTTGAAACTCACAGCCTCGTTGTTGCTTGTGCCTATTTCATTACTTCTTTGGAAGAGCACATAATTTTCTTCCCTTGAGGAAACTGCGCCCTTGTCTCCTTCCCGTCTTTATTGTTTCTAATCTGGTTGCAAGTCCGCTCTAATCTACATGTAAAAGGAAGGAACATCGAGTCGCTAACGATGGTAACCGGAACCTGCCACCTGCACTGAAGACAGCGGTTGCGATAGCGCGCCAATCCCGAATTCCCGCCAAAGCCTAGCACAATGGCTGCTGTCCCATGCCGCGATATCGCCGAAAGTATTGCACCAAATATGCTACTGCACCACATGGTCCCCCCCATAAGCCACAAGCAGCGGGGAAGCGCGCATGCTGGCACGAGCTACAGGCTACTACAGGCCTCAACAGTAAAAAACCGTCCTCCTATGTCGCAGCACCTCGCAATTGACATCACAAGTGCCGGAAGAAACCCCACCTTTGGACCTTCTGTGAATTTTGTCGGCGGGTTGTCAGTCGTGGCTTCCCGTGTCGAATTTGTAACAGCTGTGTCCGCAACTTCCTCGAATCCCTGTCTGAGCGGTGGGAGACGGGAAAACACAGAAAAGAAGCTCTCAATCTCACATCCTCTTGCCTCTCAGTTGTGCAACTAACGTCTCAACAAGAGCCACCATCAACAACCAGACCACAAACTGCAACATCGCCAGTAACCGGCCTCGACTAGTCGAGAACTCTGAGCAAAGTGACAGAACTCCACCTCCGCCAAGGTAGGCACGGAAAGCAGATAAAAGGAGGGGCGACTAGTCACGCTATTTTTTGACCATTCTCACGCGTGTAGTATTCCGTGGAAGCAGTTGAAAGACACACTTCAGTGGAATTACTACGCCGCAGCTGGAGCATCTGACAGCTGGAAAGCTACTGTTTATAATAAACCCGCCTCCCGAGCAATCATCTCCCCCTCTCAGTCCCATTTCCTGTACTCGCTCCCCTCAAGAATAAAGGATATTTCGGATCAGACATTGGGAAGAGGGGAAACAAACGAAACACGGGACATCTGTCATACTAATTCGAACGGAAGAGGTAATTACGCAATGGATTTCCCATCGCCTACTCTCGTGGTAGATATAGCAAGCTCTCCTAACATTCTTGCCAAATCTCTACCTTATTCCTTCTGCTGGTGAGAGAGACTTTTTACGTCGACCCATTGTAGCTGACATCCCAGCAGCATTCACACACTCCCGCCAATTGACATCATTGACGCTGCCAACAAGATTGCCAACATGGCTTCCACCGTCGGCAAGGTAAGCGAGCGAAACGAGCGAAGCGAGAAAGCAAAGACCATTACACCGAGATGAGACACGCCAGCTGACACGCCGTCGTTTCCACGTAGACAATCACCTGCAAGGCTGCCATTGCCTGGGAGGCTGGCAAGGAGCTGAGCATCGAGGACGTCGAGGTCGCTCCGCCCAAAGCCCACGAGGTCCGTATTGAGATCTACTACACGGGTGTGTGCCATACAGACGCATACACCCTGTCCGGCAAGGATCCCGAGGGTGCTTTCCCCATCATCCTGGGACATGAGGGCGCTGGTGTCGTCGAGTCTGTCGGCGAGGGCGTCACCAACGTCAAGCCCGGCGACCACGTCGTGGCGCTCTAGTAAGTTGAACCTTCTTTTGACGTTTGTTGGACACTCGTAAGCGTGTCCAATAGCCATACTGACAATTCGTAGCACCCCCGAGTGCGGCGAGTGCAAGTTCTGCAAGTCTGGAAAGACCAACCTGTGCGGCAAGATCCGCGCTACCCAGGGCAAGGGCGTGATGCCCGACGGCACCTCGCGCTTCAAAGCCCGTGGCAAGGACATCCTGCACTTCATGGGCACGTCCACCTTTTCCCAGTACACCGTCGTTGCCGACATCTCCGTCGTCGCCATCCAGGACAACGCTCCCTTTGACCGCGCCTGCCTGCTGGGCTGCGGTATCACCACGGGCTACGGCGCTGCTCGCGTCACCGCCAAGGTCGAGGAGGGCAGCAGCGTCGCGGTGTTCGGCGCTGGCTGTGTCGGCCTGTCGGTCGTGCAGGGCGCTGTCGCACAAAAGGCCGGCAAGATCATTGTCGTCGACGTCAACCCGACCAAGGAGGAGTGGGCCAACAAGTTCGGCGCCACGGACTTCGTCAACCCGACCAAGCTGCCCGAGGGCACCACCATTGTCGACAAGCTGATTGAGCTGACCGACGGCGGTTGCGACTACACCTTTGACTGCACGGGCAACGTGCAGGTCATGCGTGCGGCCCTCGAGGCGTCGCACAAGGGCTGGGGCCAGAGCATCATCATCGGCGTGGCGGCGGCGGGCCAGGAGATTAGCACGCGTCCCTTCCAGCTGGTGACGGGCCGTGTGTGGAAGGGCTGCGCGTTTGGCGGCATCAAGGGCCGCTCCCAGCTGCCGGGCCTGGTGGGCGACTACCTCGAGGGCCGCCTCAAGGTTGACGAGTTCATCACGCACCGCAAGACGCTGAGCGAGATCAACCCGGCCTTTGACGTCATGAAGGCTGGCGACTGCATCCGCGCTGTTGTCGACATGCGGAAGCTGTAGAGATGGATGACTGGGAAAGGCGATATTATAAAAAGTGAATCAACCAAAATAGGAACCGCTCGTTTTTGAATGAAATTACAGGTGTCAATACGTACCTTTACCACATTATGCCGACTGGTTGTGAGACCATAAGTTCCTGGACCTAATACCTGACATCAATCAGCATTCGCGTATTATTGTAGATGTCTGATACAAGGACAGATACGAGGACTTTTATGGTGTGTCTGGATGATGCTCTTATTTATGTAACCCACCTCACCCCCGCGATCGTCATCGCCCAGAGTTCGGACCTTGCGACGAGAACCCTTGTGGACACTGGCTGTTTGACCGTTCATTGCCGTTTTCGCCGTTCCCACGACTGCCATGACGCGGTCCCTTTTTTTGCATGCATGGATCATACAGCTTATAAAACTTTACGGGGACGCCGACTGGGCAAACACGAAATAACAATATACGAGTGTAAGCAAGAGTGTAGCACTGTTGATACGAACGAAGAGTACGACGTTAAGGAAAAAGGAATACGAACATGAGTGAAACAACAGGACATGTTCATGCGAGGATCGAATGCCCATTGGCTTTCATGGTATTCAGCAATTGGCAGCGCCCCCTCCTTCACTCGTCCGAGAGACCTTGAATCCTTTGCCTCGCAGGGCTCTTCACTTGACTCGCGTTATCGCCCGGCACAGCGAATACTTGTAGTAAGGCGCCTGACATCATCGTTTATTTTTATTTTTTTGCCGGCTTGGCTTGGCTTTCCTCTTTGAACCCATTCTTAACTTCACTCTCAACAGCAAAGACCATGTACGGATTAATTGAGCTCAATTTAAGCGCCTTACTTAAACGACAGTAAAAGAAACGGTGGCAAGCAGCTTTGTCACCGTTTCTCAGGTGGTGTCGCAAAATACAACGTGGTGTCGATGACAGCGGTTGGGCTCTCATTTCGTCCCAATCTCGCATTCTGTAGCGATGGGCAGCCTTCCTGCCACTTTCGGGTCGCAGTCTCACCATATTGTAACCTGCGACATTTTGGTTCCTGGTTGGCAGGAACAACTGTCAGATTTGCAGCTGCCAAAACATCACACCAACAGCCTTTCTAGCGTGAGATGACAGCAAGCGCATGTGACCAGGCTGGAACATTGGGAAGGCGTAGTCAGGCGCCTGCAACAGATGGCTTAACCAGCCGCAATGAAAATGCACCACGGGGCTGCCGGGTCTAGCCCACCACCCTTTCTCTGATTTGGTGCGGTATTGTCTCACCGTTTTCTTATTTTAATATTTCTGGCCCTCGTGTTCTTTTCAACTAAGTCACGACGAAGGACGGTAAAGACCATGCCCGTCATGGCCGTCGTGGCGTGCAATTACCGTCTTTGTCGTCTGTCTCGCCAGCCGTCTCGTCTCTTTTGTTCCAAATCTCCATTTTGAGCCTGTTTCTCTTCCTGAACACAGCTATCCCCCTTTGGAAACACAGTCCGTGTCTTTCCTACACCCACTGTGTCTCACATCGAATCGAGAGGTGAAAGGCCTCAAAGACACACAAGCACAAATGCCTCAAGGTGCTGTCGGTCCCGCCGGCCACGCCGCGTGGCCCCTATGACCTGACCCCGGATGACGACGAGAAGGGTCTTGAGGTCTTACTTTGTCATCCACACAGTTGCATTGTCCTGTAGGTACACTCTGTCAGGTCCCTTTCCACGTGAGATTCTGTTGTTTGTCAAGTCTCGATTAAAACACAAAGGAGACGAGGTCAGGAGAAACAAGGGCCATCACGAAGTTGGACGCCTCCACGACATGACACAAAGGCACATCAACTACGCCATTCTCGGTGTCGCTGTCCCCATCGCCAATCGGGAGACACATCATTGGGCCCGACAGCGGAGCCTCGCGGAAGAGACAGTGCGTCATCGTAGCAGCACGGAGAAGGCGCTAATGATACGGAGAAGGTCCGTTACAGCAGATGAGGTGAAGGCACCTGGACCTGGCCCGTTTCAATCGCTGTTTCCAGCAGCTTCCGCGAGCCGCCGGCTCTTTGCGGCTGGCGCGATCCTCCCTGACGGGACCACAGTGTGACAACACGTCGGCCAGGCCACAGATGGCGGCCCCAGCACCCGAGGAGCGCTATGGACCCTCAACAACCCCCAATTCGCAAGGACAATGACTGATCCTGACTGATCCTGATGCCCTACCTTCCCTGGTTGGCTCGGCTGGCCTGCGTCCTCTCCACAAGCAGGCAAAAGCACAACGTATCTGTATCCGCCCGTCGTGCTAAGTTACCCACATCCCTTTCAGCCACTTGCGCCCATATCGACCGCAGTCCGCCCCATTCCACGCTGTCCATGACACAAGCGCTACATACGTCGTACCTCCACACCAGGCTGTCGTTGCTGGCCCATCGCCGTCCGCGCGAGTCAACACCAAGTATTGGCGCCGCCTCCTTCCACTTTGAATACGGAGCGCTTGGCGCCTTGCTCTTCCCCTTGTTCGCCCTTGCGCTTGTCTGTTGCCATCTTCGGCTTCCGTATCGAACACACTCCCTGACTCCCGGCTCCTTCCCAAAATACACTTCAAACGAGCAAGGCCAGCCAATATTACACAGCCTGGTCGCCTCTTTCCGCCATGGGCATAAAGCGCCCGTTCCGTAATCGTAATCATCAAAACCGCCAGCCGCAAGGGCCTTAAAAGAAGACAAGTCTCCATCGGCGGGCCTTGCTACCACCACCCCCCCAGTAACGCCCACGTGAGGCGTTTCCGACCATCGCTGATTCTCTGACTCCCGTCCCTGTGTCGTCCCTTTTCGCCTGTCGCCTGCCTCCTTCCTTTCCCTTCCTTGTCCTTCTCCTTCCTTTTTAATGCAACTGCATCCCCCAAGGCTTCCCCTTTCCTTCCCTCCTTCCCGACTTACTCCTTCCTTTCCTTCCCTCTTTCCATTCTTCATTCTCACTTCTCTACATCTCTGACTTTCTCGTCAACCTCCTCTTTCGACGGTCACCACTCCACCACTACCACCACCACCTAACATCGTTTTCGCCGCCACCGCCTACGCATATCGTCCTCGGCCTAACGCACAGCGATACGAGTACAAACGACAATAGGCAACACGACGCCTTCTTTTATCATCGAGCCAGTTTACTTGTCGACTCCTCCCTCCTGAAACCACAAAACTTCGAATTTAACGATTTCTGTCGTATTTTCGCTCTGTCTATATCTCTGTGTCCCTTCTTCGCTCTACCGTCGGTCACTCAGAATGGCTCCCCGCAAGATCAAGTGCTCTTTCAAGGAGTGCAAGGAGGCAGCGCAGCGCATTGCTGGCGACTGCGGTTTCTGTAACGGGCACTTCTGCGGCCGTCACCGGTTACTAGAGGACCACAAGTGCACTGGTCTTGAAGACGTATGTTATCTCCCTGCATGTCCTCAGCTTTGTGACGGATTTTTCGAAACTGACTCTTACCGTTTTCTCCCCAATATAGTGCAAGAAGGCAGCACACGAGCAGAACGCTGCCCAGCTTGAATCCGAGCGGACCCACGTCATCAAGGGCGTATAATGGCAGTCCTTTCCGTTTTGCCGTCGCACGTCTCCCTGACGACTCTGAAGGCGGACCGAGTCCATGAAAAGGACCTTATAGTGGCGAGTTTCCGGGCATCGCGATTCTTGACAACCTCTTGTCCTCTCCGACGACGATGTCGACACGATTGACCGAATGACGACGGGGATGGTCAAGCAGAATGCTTACTACAGAACGCAAATGGCCAACAGCGTGGTGACCAGTCATGCGCCGAGCACCATCATTTTATGGTGCACGGGGCCAACGCACAACGTTGTTTCTGTCGTTGCTGTGATCAGGGATCCGTCTCCTCTGTTCTGCCAGCTCTCCCTAAATCACGGACCCCGGACCACCGACTCAACCCGCAGCAGCCCAACAGAAACTTGCACCACCCTGCCACGTATTTTGCAACGCAAAACCCGCAAATTGCATAATACATACAACCCACTCATCCACAATTTCTCAAATTCACACATCCACGCACCAAACACGCGCACACCCTCCCCCCCACACGTAACATTAATTTCTCTACTTGACACGAGCGGCTGGTATTACGTGGGATCACCACGTCCACTGCACACCAGAGCCAACCGACGTGAGCTCTCATCTTTCCTTTTTTGAGGCCGCTTATTCCCACCATATTTGTTATTTGTCATAATCTGTTTTCCAACCGTATGGCGTCTGGAGCTGGGTAGCGAGGGAGTGACACGAGCTGTCATTTGTTTGTTTCGCCGTCCTGGGGCTTTTGAAGTCATTCTGGTCTTCATTATTCTGATAGAGGCGATATTTTTGAATTCTACATTTTCACCAAAACACACCAGGCCAATGATTGCATCGTAGATTTGTATTGTGCATCGCTATCGTTGACAACTGTAAATTTACAAAAATTTAAAATTTAAAAATACAAGTATCTTCAAGCGTAATCCCCCTCCTCCTTGACTTCGTCTTTGATGACACCGTCCTCGTCTTCGCCGGGGACGTCCAAGCCCAGCTCGCGCCGTTTCTTGCGTCCTTCGTTGACCTTTTTGCGGTTGGCTGCTCGGCACAGCCCGCGCAGGCCCAATGTACAGTCGCCGCACTTGGCGCCCTGGGGCAGGCACACGGCCTGGCCAAAGCCCACCAGCAGCCAGTTGATCTCCTTCCACTTGTCACGCGGCAGCCAGCTCTGCAGCGCCAGGCGCGTGCCCTCGGGCGTCTTGGCCGCCGCCGATCCGGGCTTCTGCCACCCCCAGAGGTTCGTGATGCGGTGCACGTGCACGTCGACGCCGATGCCCTCGACGCGGTTCCAGCCGTGCTCCGCGGCCAGGCACAGGTACGCCATCTTGGGCCCGACGCCGGGCAGCGCCATCAGGCCCTCGGCCGTCGGCGGGATGTCGCCGCCGTACTCGTCGCGCAAGATGACGGCGGCCTGCTTGAGATACTTGGTCTTGTTGTTGTGGAAGCCGACCTGCCAGATCAGCTGGTTGAGCAACGTCGGGTCGACGGCAAGCATGTTTTCCAGGTTGAGCCCCGGCGGCGCGCCCGGCGCGTGGGGCGGGAGCTCCGCCTGCAGGCGCGCCATGACGACGGCATTGACCGTGTCCTTGGTCTGGGAGCTCAGCATGAGGGCCACGAGGGTGTGGAAGCGCCGGTCGCGCGGGCTGGCCGACGCGAGGGCAAGGCGCTCGCAGCCCATGGTGTCGACGGCGGCGTTGGCGGCCGGTCCGCCGGGGAGGCGCATCTCCTTGACGAGGTCGTAGAATAGCTCCCAGTCGGTCGGCGGCTCGACATGCGTCGCGTCGCCGCCCTCGCCCTCGCCCTCACGCTGGCTCGCGACCTTGGTCGTGATGACACGTGCGGGCTTGCGGGCTTTGCGTGGCGGTGCTGCCTTTTGTATGGACGAAAGGTCCTGCCCGCCCAGCTCCTCGTCCTTGATCTCCCGCTTGACCTCGACATGGTCTTCTGACTTGACGGCACCGTTGGCTCCATTTCGCTTCTTGTGGGTAGGTATTTTCGTGACTACGGCGGCCGTGGTCGTCGTGGTCGTCGTGGTCGCTGCTCGTTTTCGTTTGCCTGTCGCAACAGAGCCTGTCGATGTTTTGGTCGTGGCTGCTGTCGTTCTCGTTCGTGCACCTCTTGTCGCTTTCCTCCTTGGTGCAGACACAGCGTCTTCAATGTCGCTATTGAAGGACAGCTCGGACAGGCTGCTCTCGTCGTCCGAGGGTTTGTGGTCGCTGTCGTCGTCGTCATCGTCATCGCGTTCCTCATTTTTCACGCCGCCGTCCGAGTCGGAGCTATCGTTCTCGCGGTACCGGAACCGGGCCAGCGACGTCGACGCCATACGCGCCGACCGCCGTCGCTGAGGTCCAGCTGCCGTCGCGGCCGCTGTCGTCATAGCTTTCTGTGTAGTCTGGGCGCCCTGGGTACTATGAGTGATCTGTGCGTTTCGGGAATTTGCCGACCGAGGAGGACAAGAAAGAGGGGGCAATGGCAGGCGCACGACGCTGTGCACAGCGGTCGAAAGGAAGCGAGGGGAGAGCAAGAGTTGCAATCGCGAGAACATGCAGCCAAAGCCGAGGGACGACCGTCGTCGTGGCTGCTGTTGTGGCGTTCGTCGTTGTGACTGGACGTCGTAGTCTGTCGTCTCCCCTTTCTCAGCTTCAGGGGATCCTACGGGCGGACCAGTCCGAAGTGCTGGGTCGTTGTGTCTGCACATCCGATCCACTACCGTATCCGCGCGGAGAGCTAGTCCTAATATGGACTAGCGCATTTGCGTTCAGCTAGAATGTGTCAAAACGGGCAAGAGCAGCGACGAAGCGACCTTCAAGTGTCTCCAAAACACCATACTCCGTACGAAGTACAACATACAACGTACAGAGTGTGTTGTAAGAGACTGCTGATTGAGAGGTGGTCGGATAGGACGTCGAGCTGTGTATCGTAGCAGGCCGCACATTATCACGGCCAGTTTCTATTGTCGAAGCACCTGAACTGGCATAGAAGAACGTACTAGATTGACGGCGTTTCGTATCGACGCAGGACGACGTCCGTCCGTCCGTTGAACTCATCTGACAACAACAAACACTGCACGGCATACATACCTTACAGACTCCTCATTCGCATAAGATGGATAGGCAGTGGTCGGCGGCCATGGCTATTTTGGCCGAAGGAAGGATGCGAAGAACGACAAGCGGCGGACAAGAACGGACTTATGTCAGCTGGCTTAACCGAGAGGAGCAGGCGCGCACAGGCGTGGAAGGCAGGCACCCACCGGATTTGCTGCATTCTTAACTCCAGATCCGCCTTCTGCCAGCGCTTTTTAGCAGGAAGGTGCCACCCCAACCAGAAGGCTCCGAACTATACACGCAATTAGCGCAACAGGCAGGTACGCTGTACGAGGTTCTGACGCCAGCAAAAATTGACAACAATAAACGACGTAGACCAAAAAGACTGCAAAAACTGCAGCAACTTAGGCCGTCCAACCACCATTCCGCCCTAATTGACCCGAATGCCGTGTCTCGTTACAATGCCGTCGGAGAGTTGTCGCCCCTTGGAGCGTCTTTCAGCTGCATGTGTTTTATGTATTGGGCCACTCCCTGCTTCTGGAACTTGCCCAGAGGAAGGGGCCTTGACGGGCCTTCGGGCTGCTCGACCGTCCGCTTCTTGGCTGAAATCCCCCATTGACGATGTTAGAAGCCAGGGGCGGAGACGTTATGGCTAGGGGTTGAGGATCATCTGGTGCTGTGGGCTGGCTTTTGTGTACGCGTCCTTTTGTTGTCTACTATTATAAAGACAAAAACTATCTACATTTTGTGAATTGCTTCTTTTTTTTCTTTTCTAAATTTGTATCGTCACATTGAGCATCGACATCTTTGCGATTTCCGTCAGCACCATCACAACTTTATTTCTAGCGTTCTCGTCACCAACTCTCGACAACCCCCGGTCCTCTCTTCCCTCCTCTGCATATTTCCGTCACAATGGCAGAGTACAACGGCGGCAGCGCCAAAGCAGACCACCTCTGCGTTCTCGTCCACGGTGTATGTTTACCTTCACGCCCTCTCCATCCGATCACCACCGACTAACACAGCTCAGCTCTGGGGCCAGCCTGAACACCTGGGTTCCGTGGCCGCCGCCTTGCGTGACAGCTACTCCGAAGACCAGCTGCACATTCTTGTCGCCGGCAGCAACAGCGGCTACTACACCTATGACGGTATCGACACCGGCGGTGAGCGCGTGTGTCTCGAGATTGAAGATGCCCTCGAGGCGGCGGCCAGCAAGGGCGCCAAGATCACGAAGTTGAGCGTCGTAGGCTACTCAATGGGCGGCCTCGTCGCACGCTACGCCGTGGGCCTGCTGCACGCCAAGGGCATCATGGACAAGCTCGAATGCAAAAACTTTGCCGCCTTTGCGAGTCCCTTTTTGGGCGTCCGGTCCCCGACCCGCGGCGCCTTCAGCACCGTCTTCAACGCCATTGGCTCCCGCACCATCAGCGTGTCCGGCCGCCAGCTGTTTGGCATCGACTCCTTCCGCGACACCGGCCGCCCGCTGCTGACCATCCTGGCCGACCCCGAGTCCATTTTCATGGCCGGCCTGCGCCGCTTCGGCCGCCGCACGCTGTACGCCAACATCGTCAACGACCGCAGCGCCGTCTACTACACCACAGCCATCTCCAAGACGGACCCCTTTGCCGAGGTCGCCGCCGCGGGCGGCGAGATCGAGGACTTGCCGCTCCACTTCGTGCCCGGCTACGACCAAACCGTCATGGCCGACAAGGAGCCAATTGCCCTCGACCTGCTGGCGGCTGCCATGAAGCGGGTGCGCGAGCGCACGGCCAGCGGCGAAGCCGCCAAGGCCAAGGCCGAGGCGATGGCGAAACAGGGCATTATGCCCGCTGGCAAGGCGGTGCGGCGCTTCCTGGCGAAACCGTGGAACCGCGAGCGGCGGCTGCAGCTGTTTGAGGCCGCGCCCATGGTGGCCATTTCGCTGCTGCTGCCCCTGGGCCTGACGCTGTTCCTCGTGAACGCGGTCTACCAGCACGTCCAGAGCAGCAAGCGTCTCAAGCTGCACGAGGGCGGCCTGGCTGGCATCGACAGCAAGAGCTACCGCCTCCTGCCGCTGTGGATGAAGGGTCTGCGGGACACCGTCGAGGACGCCTACGGGGACATTAACACGGCCCAGGACCCCGAGTTTGTCTCGCCCGACGACTCCGACTCGGACCTCGAGTCCGTTGCCCAAGGCGGCCAGCAGCCGCAGGTGCCGCTGTTCAAGGACGGCAAAGGCGGCAAGACCAATACGGCCGCCCCGGCCGACGGCTCGCTCCTTGCCCTGTCGCCCGAGCAGTTCACCATGATCGACAACCTCGACAGCCTGGGCTGGAACAAGTACCGCGTCTGGATCCGCAAGATCCGCCACAGCCACGCCGCCATCATTGTGCGCCACGAGTCGCCGCGCTTCGAGGAGGGCAAGACTGTCTTGCGGCATTTTGTCAACGAAGAGTTTGCCATTTAGACGAGCCACCCCCCTTCCCCCCCGCACTCTCTTTTGTTTTCTTCTTTTTCTTGTTTTCCTTTTCATCATACCCTTTTTTAACTTGACGACAATTTGTACTATATTTTTGCTTCATTAGCCGGGCAGCAAGCACAAACAGGCGTTGTGGATAGAAGCGAGGACAACGCACGGCTTTCCATAACTTGATAGAATTTGAATTTCACACACAACCAATGCCAATTACAGAGGACCTGCGATTTATACATTATTCATGCTGACGTCGATCCGATGTCAACAGATCGGCAATTGCTTATGTAATGGCACCTGCCCGCTGTGAGAATTTAGAACGCTGGCAAGATAAGTGGCTACAGCGTATCGATAAGCACCTGGGGCGTAGCTTCCTCCGACGTCAGACACGCGCACCTGCATCTTGAACCTCTACATCATCTGCTACCAGATCGTCGATTCTCTTGCAAACAACCTCCCGAAGCATCTTTGTCACCACCAACATATTGTTATCGCAGACGTATACATAGTGTCATTCTTATCCGGCTTTCGAACCGACAGCATTCCGCAGCCTCGACTACGCGCGGCTGTTACCTCTTCAGAACATCTGCAAAGACAAATTCTTTGCCTTCAAACTCGCATTTGTTAACTTCGCCTGGACGTTCACTTTGGTGTTCTTCTAACTGCACCACCTTTTGCCACCTATACCCCGTGTGTGTGAAAGAATTGGAGACGGCGGCCCCATTGCTTCTTCACTGCCCCTTGGCGGGCCCGCGCCGCTCACGTCGTGATGGACATCCCCGATGGCCTCTTGAGCCACATCCCATGCCCAAACGGCGATGGATGCAAGACTGTGCGGTGTCTCTTTGGCCATGCCGGTAGCCAACCGATTGGCGCACCCACTGCAGGTTTAGATGGCGCGTCAACAGCCGTAACATCGGCTGCCGCGTCGACGGGTAAGCACCGCTCAAGCTTTAGCGACGAGAGCAGCCTCGCCGAGAAACGACCGAAAATTGAGCACATGGAGAAGACGGTCAACGACAAGCGGTCGACGTCAAGCAGTCTCTCCAAAAGCTCGTCCTCGTCATGGACCCAGAGATCATCCAAAGGCTCTTCAGAAAGCTCGACAAACAGCTTGTTTTCTGTCAGCCCCGTTGTCTCTCACGATGCCGACCCCTCTCTATCTGCACTCAAACGGCCCATCTCACCACCGCCACTAAAGCGGCGACAAAGTCAAGTAGCAAGTGTCGCTGATACACCCTCGCCGGCCGCCGTCACTGCCACCGCCACCGCCGGCCAAGCCCCTACCTCTGTCACGGCTGCCAAGCCCTCACAGTCTGTGCCTTTGGCACCCTCCAACAACACAACCAGCAGCAAGCCAGTACCACCAGCACAGGAGAAACGGAAGCCAGAAACGCTCAATCCGCGTTATGTGGCCAAGGCGCCTGCAAAGCACGAGATTCGCCTGCGGCTCGTCAAGCTGCTACACCAAGAGTTTTCCCGTCTGAATAAGCTTCTTCATGCGTCTGCAGAGCACCCCGAGGATAGGAAGCACTACTTGCTGAGCCCACAGGGCCTAATCTGGGCGGCCCTCGATGTGGAAGAGCACTATGCCACCACCAAGTCATCCACAATCTATTCGGACACGATCAAGCACCGCATCATGGAGTTCAAGCGGATGACGGTGGTCCAATGGGTCAAGGAGCGGAAGGAAACAAAAGAAGCGGCGAGACGAGCCCGCCAAGCCGCAGGTGTATCGACTCCCGCAGCTGCGCCAGCAGCGTGCGCCAAAACGCCACATACCACAGAGCCCGCTGCCGCCACGACCGGGACTTCCGCAACGTCCCCACCGCCTCCGATTGTCACAGGCCTCCCGCCCGACCAGGAACTGGTCCTTCTCCAAAGGCACTTTGTAACCCCGACTGACAAGCTTGGGAACCAGGGTTATGTTCCGAGCGTGCCCTCCGACGAGGACATTCAAAAGGCCCGCGACGCCGAGGACGTCTCAAAAGGCTGGGAGCAATGTGAGCGCTGCACTCGCCGCTTCCAGGTGTTTCCGGGCCGCCGCGAAGACGACGGCGCACTGACGTCAGGCGGCAAGTGTCAATACCACCCGGGTCGGCTGAACCGTGCGACCCAAGTGTTCAGCTGCTGCAGTGCATCTGCCTCGGACGGGTCGCCGGGCTGCGAGACGGCGGCCAGCCACGTATTTAAAGCAAACGACGCAAAACGCCTGGCGTTACTGTGGAATTTTGTCGAGACACCGGCCAACCCCGACCCCAACGTACCGGTTGACCAGGCCGTCTGTTTTGACTGTGAGATGGCCTACACGGTGTACGGCATGGAGGTGGTGCGGTTGACAGCGACGTCGTGGCCGAGCGGCGAGCTGCTGCTAGACATCCTCGTGCGACCGTATGGCGCCATTATCGACTTCAACTCGCGCTTTTCGGGCGTATGGCCGGAGGACTTTGCGGCGTCTATTCCTTATACGCCTACAGCAGCAGCCGACGCAGCGACGAAGCGCGGCGCGGCAAATCCCAAGGGAACAGACGAAACGTCAACGAATCGGCCGCCAATGCTTATGGCCTCGTCGCCCGAGGCCGCTCGCACACTTTTCCACGAGATAATACGGCCAGAGACGGTGCTCATTGGGCATGCACTCGAGAACGACCTCAAGGCCATGCGGATGGTGCACCCACGCATTTCCGACACGGTCCTGCTGTTCCCCCACCCAAAGGGATTGCCCATCCGGTATAGTCTGCGGGTGCTTGCCAAGGAGCACCTCGACCGAGTCGTCCAGGCCGGCGGCCATCTCACGGGCCATGACAGCGCCGAAGACGCGCGCGTGGCCGGCGACTTGGTGCGTTTCAAAATCAAGTCAAAATGGGACGACCTGCGGCGGCGGCAGAACTGGAAGCTCGTTGACGGGGTGATGGTGCAAGACAGTTGAGGCTGGCACGAGACAGGACTCTTGCACATAGTTGCATTGCTACTGTACAATCATTTTGTCATGTTTTTACTTTGGTGTCTTTACAAGCATAGCGGAGCGTGGATACGAATAGAAGACAACATTGGCTTCACACTGATGCAAAGAAAAAAAAAAGTCGATAATGTCGTAGTTGTGATTGAGAAAGTGGTGTAATGTAATTGTACATGACTAAACAGCCAAACTGTAAAAGCAAAATGACGCCAGTAAATAGTGATTTTCCCTCGCCAGGCACCAGAAAGAGCATGCGTCCTCCATCCACCGCTCTTTTGTATGCATTCTCCCCTGTTTCTTTCCTTTTCGTGTCGTTTCCCACCCCTACACAAGTCACGTCCCCTTCTGCTTCCTATGTCCGGCCGGCGTTCAAGAGGATGTTGGTACCCTGCTTGCCGCCGGGGATGTAGGCCACATTGGCGTTCGCGGCCAGCGTCTGGGCAATCTCGCGGCTCGCCTCGATCTTGCGGATCTGGATCAGGCCGTCGCCCGACTTGGCAATGGCGCGGCTGATGGTGTCGGCGCTCTCGGCCTCGCCCTCAGCACGGATGACGTTGGCCTGGCGCTCCTGCTCGGCGCGCTCGACAATGAAGCGTGCGCGCTCGGCGTCCTGCTGGGCAATCTGCTTCTGCTCGACGGCCTTGGTAAACTCCTTGCCAAACGTCATGTGCGTAATGGACACGTCCTCGAGGGCAATGTTGAACTCGTGGGCGCGCTTCGTCAGGTCGGCGCGGATGCGCTGCGAGACGGCCTCGCGCTGCGTAATCAGCTCGGCGGCGTCAAACTGCGCAACAATCGACTTGAGCACCTCGTTGCCAATGGACGGCAGCACGCGCTCGTCGTAGTCGTGGCCGAGGTTCTGGTAGATCTTGGGCAGGGCCTGCACCTCGGGTCGGTGCAACACGCGCAGCGTCAGGCTGACCATCTGCATGTCCTTGCTGCCGGTGGTCGTGGCGATGTTGCGGGGCTTGGTGCGCACGTCAAAGATGATGCTGCGCTGCAGCCAGGGCACGAGGAAGTGCGTGCCCTCGCTGATGACGGTGTCCTTGACGCCCGACAGCCGATCAAAGATGACGGCGCGCGAGCCGCCCCGCACGTCGTACATGGACGACTGCAGCACGGCGATGCCGGCGACCGCCGGGATCGATATTTTGTAGATGAAACCGAGGGCGTTGGCCATTGTGACGGGCAGCTTCTGTGGTGCTGTGGGTTGGTGGGTGCTGGTCGTGGAGGTGTCGTCGATTGCGCCCGACGGATCCGAGATGGCGATGTCGTCTGCTTTTTCTTGCGGCTTCGGTTTTGGTAGGCGCTACCGGGTCGTACTGGCTTACTAGCTTTTGAGCCTGTCTTTGGTGGTTTGACGCTGCCTCTTGCCTGCCTAGTATTAGCACTGCTACTGCTATTTGCTGCGTTGCACCTTCCTGACAGTTGAAGCCCGGCTCGGATTATTCCATTTCTCCGACAAGTAAACCAAGCCCAATCAGGGAAGACGCTGCTACTTTGCCTGGAAATCCGCGGCCAATTGACCATTCCGACAACTCCCATTCGGCCTCCCAGAAATTCTCTCGCCCGTTGTCTCTGAAGCTTGCAGCATCGACTGACTGTTCATTCTCACGGTATCCCGACCTCGACCACCACCCTCGCTCCACACCCCGAACTCAATCGATCACAATGCGTCCCTCTCAGATGCTCCGCAGCGGCGGCGGTGGCGACACCCCGCTCGGCAAATACGGCCAGTACGGCGCCCCTCTCCCGCGCAAGTGAACAGGAACAGGTTCCGATGCGCCGCAGCGCGGCTAAGCTCAGGCCCTGCGGCCGATGCATGGCTGTGGTTGGAATGGAACGGCTGTCTGGTGACGCAGATGTGCAATTGCGCGCATGCAGGCAATGATTTGGATGTCGACGTGGTAGCTAACGCGTTTTCCTATCTAGCTACATTGGCAACTGGGGAAACATGGGTAAGTTGATGCTTTTCGACGGCATGGGCGGACGACACGACGTGTGACCATGGTCAATGGGCTGGTGCGGCATGGGGGAAGCTCCTGTATTCGCGGAGACCACCGGTGAACAGATGCATCGATTTTGTCCATATATGGGGATATCGCCTGCCAAGCGGATGGCGGGATGCGACGGCCGGTCTACGGCTGCCCACACAAGCGATGCGATGACGACACGAGAACATGCTAACAACGCAACAGGCCCTGCCACCCAGAAGCAGCGCGGCATTGTCTCGTTCGGCATTGCCCCCAACCGCCAGAACCCCTTCGCCGGCGCCGGCCACGACGCCATCTTCAACACCTGGCGGCGGTTTTCCCGGCAAGTCCTGTACTGGGCGCCAGCCTTTATCGGCGGCTACTACATCATGCAGTGGGCGACCGAGCGGTACGTGCTAGGAGACGGAACGGAGGTGCAGTGCGGTTGTCTGGACACAAACTGACTTTGATAGGAACCACTTCCTGAACTCCAAGCACGGCCGGCCATCGGCTGATGAGGAGTAGTAAGGAGTTTGATGCACGAGACACGAGAAAACCACCGCACATTTCACAGGACGCGCAGACGGTGCATAGGAAAGTACATCGACGGTACATCTAGACGATTAGGAAGCACGTGTTGAGGGGACTGCTGGCACCTGCTGGCTATAAAATGTACCAATACCGTCTACCGAGGATGACAGATAGACACTACATACAGACACTTTTTTTTATGCCAGCCACGCGAACCATGAGTGCTTTGCCGGTATCTATATGTGTTGAGTCCACAGCATTCACTGTTACAGCCACACTGCGTTGATTTGAGAACGATCAGCGCTTGATGCGCAGTCCAACCGCAATGCATCGACTGTCTCTTCCGCTGTCTTCCCCTCTCTTCCCCTCTCGTTCACAGGTTTCCCGTCACTCTTTTCATGATATAATCTTCTGTTTTCTATTTGCAGCATGGTATATTGTACGTACAGGCATCACACATAATACTATCTCCTTCTGCGCAGTCGACAGCCAATCGTCCCCCATCTTGCCCCCTGAACTTGCCACTAGGCGGCCGAAATTTGCCAGGCAGCACGGCCTGCACGTGACTTGGCCTCCTTTGCGACGGTCCGCCACTCAGACACCCCGCACCCCCCCCCCCCCCCCACGAAGCGCCGAGGCGATTGCGAAACAATCCCTGATTCGCAGAAATTTCAACTAGCGCATGACAAGACCCACTATTTCTGCATGGCCCGTGCGTTTCTGTCGGGAATATATAAAGGACAGCATGTCCCTCCCTCGTTTTTGCTTTCCTTCGCGCGTGCATTTTGACTGACCCCCCCCTCTCGTCCAATTTCAGCCACGGATTTTTTTGCGGCTCCCACCATACACTGTCGCAAAACCGGCTTCGTTTTGTGAATCCCTCTCTTCTCTCTCATCAAGGAAACTGTTTTTCTTTGCCTTTCCTTCACCTCTACAACCTCTCGCTATTTAATTATTGCGATCGAGATTAATTGTGTTTTTGTCACCGTTTTTTTATCGTCTCTTTGTCCAGCGTCTGATTTTTGCCCTTTTTTTTTTTCACTCAAAAAAGCATCTTCCTCAAAAAACGGCTTGCGTCGCATCGCATCGCTTCACACCGACCGCGTTCGACCCATCCCATCATCGTCTTATCGAGGAGAATTCACTTTCGCCCTCGGTCTTTCGTATTCACATCTCCCGAACCTATCTTCGTCGCTCTCCTCGACCGACGAACACGGCCTCTCTCTTGGTTTCATCGCCTCGTCGCACAGAAACGCACACCCGTCATCAGCCTTCGACCCCGTCGCCGGCTGTTGTAAGTGTGTGGCCTGGTCCTCATCGTCATTTGATGGATAACTGAGCGAAGAGTTTGTCGTACTGACATGCGTTGAAGCCCCCCAACTAGGCTGCCGCCCTGTTGTTCTCGCTCCTCTCCCTCTTCCTCTCTCCCACTCTCCCACTCTTCTCTGTCTTCGTCCTCGCTTGTCCTCTTTGCAAACCACCGCAGCAATGTCGTCTTCCGTTACTGTCGTGAACTCTGCAGCGCCAGCGCCTGGCCTGTACTCGCAGTCTTCGATGGACTCGCTCAACTCGCACCCGTCGACCGCCGCACAAGCTCGCGCTTTCACAGCCCCATCGTCACTCTCGTTTCCGGGAGGAACCGAGACCATGCAGACTCCCCCGTCTGAAAAAGACGGCAGCGTGCCCAACGGCACCGCGAAGGCTGGCTCTGCTACCCCAGCGCCTGGAACGGCCACGGGACCGGCGGCTGCTGCGGCGGCGGCGCAGGCGGTGGGCGTGAGCGGCATCGTGCCGACGTTGCAGTGAGTGTTTTTGCCCTTTGTCCCTCGTTGCGCTTGTGAAACCATGCATTTTGTTGTTTTATTGTCTCGTAAGAACACTCGTTCATCATCTTTCTGTAAACAAAAGGAACATCGTTGCGACCGTCAATCTCGACTGCCGTCTGGATCTCAAGACGATTGCGCTGCATGCCCGCAACGCCGAGTACAACCCGGTTCGTATACTCTTTTACTCCGCCCAAGCACTCTACCTTCCCGCGGCCCACGTCCTGTCCTCTCCTCGCCCCCTCGTCGTCTTGCATGGCGGCCAGATGGCCTGGTCTGATTGGGTTGTTTGTTGGAACAGTGTTTGGCTAACTGTCTTTTGTTTTGTTTCCTGCAGAAACGTTTCGCTGCCGTCATCATGCGCATCCGCGATCCGAAGACGACTGCGCTGATCTTTGCCTCGTAAGTATTCCCAGAGTAGTTTCGGGAGAGGGTCAACGATCCATGCCATCTGTGGGCCGTATACCAACACAAATCTCTTTTAGTGGCAAGATGGTCGTGACTGGTGCCAAGTCGGAGGACGACTCCAAGCTGGCCAGCCGCAAGTATGCGCGCATCATCCAGAAGCTGGGCTTCAACGCCAAGTTCACGGACTTTAAGATCCAGAACATTGTCGGCTCGTGCGACATCAAGTTCCCCATCCGCCTGGAGGGTCTGGCCTCGCGCCATCACAACTTCAGCTCCTACGAGCCGGAGCTGTTCCCCGGTCTGATCTACCGCATGATCAAGCCCAAGATTGTGCTGCTGATCTTTGTCAGCGGCAAGATCGTCCTCACTGGCGCAAAGGTCCGCGAGGAAATCTACACGGCATTCGAGATGATCTATCCCGTGCTGCAGGATTTCCGCAAGGTCTAATGCGCTTGTTTCTCTTGTCTCCGGCTGTTGGCAACGCTGTCGTACGTCTTTCGCAGGATGTACGATGGGTCTGTCGTCTTCAGTCGCTGTAACACCACTCTGTTAATCTCTCTTTTTGCGGCCCCTGCTTTGAATGATCGGGCTAGACGGGAACGTCCGCATGTCGGTCTCGCTCTGCTTCAACTATTCTTGGCATGCCGTCATATTTTTTTTTTTTTGGCATTACGCGGCGTTTGGTTGGCTGAGAACTTTCCGTTGCTTTTTTTCTTGCTTTTTCTCTGCTCCGTCTTTTTTCTTCCACCTCACCGTCAAACGTCCGGTGGAGGAGAAAAGAGGAGCAATAAAAAACGGCGTCCTTGGGCGCAAGCGATAGAATGATCGTGGACAACGGGGTCTCATCACTGGATGGATAAAGGGACTATGTTTTATTTGTTTTTACCTGTTTCTTTTTTTTTCGTTTTGCGCGTGTCTTTTCATCTCCCTTACGTATTTTTCTTTGCCTGTTTCGTCTCGTCTTTTCCGTCTGCGCATGCGTTGCTCGGATCCGACTGGTCACTGTTCGCCACTTTTTTTTCTTTCTCGCGATACACCAGGTCATAGAGGATAGATTTCCGACGAGGAGGGGAGGTGGAGCTCGATGCTCAGAAACGGGTTGTCGGTGCTCGAGGAGATGCGGATGATGAAAGTTTGATGATTGGCGATGGTTGCTGCGAATGGGTGTGGTCAAGGGCATGATTGCTCTTTTTTGCGGCTGGCTCTGGCTGGCCCGCTCAGTATTGATACCCAAAATAGCAAAAAAATCATAAAATATGAAGCTCATGTTCGCAAAGTCGATGGTGATGAAACAGGACCAAGATAATAGGAGCCGTTTTGCCCAGGCAAATTCTTGAGTAGATTGATCACGTGTTGGTTTCGTTATCGCACGTGATCTTTTTGATAAGCACAGTATCCAATGAGATCACAGATTAGACTGGTCCAATTTTTGATCTAAACTTTTTTTTCTTTTCCTGGGCTACTGAGCAGAAACAGGCGAAAAGGCAGAACCAAAAAAGTCTGGGATCCAGCAGCTTTCTCTCTTCACCAGTTCGCATACGAATTCAAAGTTCGTCCGTCCTCCATATTCGTAACGACTCGCTTGCCGCTGCCCAATTGGTCGACCCTTTTCTATACCAATTTCGATTACTCTATCCAAATTAACAACCATCATCCTACCTTCACATTTATACCCTCGCAACAAACAATGGCTGCCAGCCGCGAGCGCAAAGAGGCCGAGGCCGCGGCCGTGACCGACAAGGTCGACAAGAAGGACAAGAAGGAGAAGAAGGACAAGAAGGAAAAGAAGGAGAAGCGGCGGTCGGAGACAGACGGCGTGCACAAGAGCAAGGACAAGAGCGACAAGAAGGAGAAGAAGCAGAAGAAGGAAAAGCTGGCGCAGGCACTCGACGCGCACCTGCAGGCGTCAGCGGCGGCATCGGCTGCAGCGGAAGAGGCGGCCGGCGGCGACGACGATGCGGCCGACAGCGATATGGCCGACGACTCTGCCGCTGCCGCTGCACCGGCTGCACCGACTGCATCCAAGAAGAAGGCCGCCGTGACCAAGCCGATTGTGCGCGGTGCCCTGGTCGAGTTTGCCCTGCCCCTGGCGGCGGACAAGTACCAGAAGAAGGTGTTCAAAGTCGTCAAGCGGGGTGAGTGTCATGTCTCTGGGGATTTTGAGGATGCATTGTGTTTTCTTTTCTGTTGATCCGTACTAACTTCTCGTCCCCAGCCGCCAAGCAGCAGGCCCTTCTCCGCGGTGTCAAGGAGGTCAACAAGGCCCTCCGCAAGGCGCCCGCCAAGAACCCGTCGTCGACGTCGGCCAACGTGCCCGGCGTCGTGGTCATTGCCGGCGACGTCAACCCTGCCGAGGTCATTATGCACCTGCCCCTGGCCTGCGAGGACGTCAATGTGCCGTACGTCTTTGTGGCGTCGCGCGGCGAGCTGGGCCAGGCCGCCCGGACGAAGCGCCCCACGTCGGTGGTGATGATCAAGGCCGAGGGCCGTGCGAACAAGAAGGCGGGCGCCGACAAGAAGGCCAAGGCCGACAGCGACGACGAGGACGACGAGGACAGCAGCAGCAGCTACCCGGAGCTGTACCAGGACTTTGTCAAGACCACGCAGAAGGAGTACGCCAAGCAGATGAAGGGCATTATCTAAAAGGAGTACCAAAGAGCACGCAGTGGTTGCGGCCTCGATTTGGTTTCGTTCTATCGGCCCTGTGTTTTGGGTTTCGGGCCGTTTTGTGTACTACGCAGTCCGTGTTGTTTTGTGTTCGTTTTCTCGTTTATTTTGTTTCCTGTTTCTTGTTCTGTTTCTTACATTGTTTACTGTCATTGTTTTATTCTGGATGGCGTCATGGGCATGGTTGCTGCTTTTACGTCCTGTTATCATTACAACGTATGTCGAGTTTGAGTTTGCAGGGAGTACCAACATTTTACTTGATACATTGCATTGACGAGTAGACCCGCACGCAACGAAAGGTGTCATTACTCAGCGGTCATGTGCTCGTCACTCAGGGGCATGAATTGCTGGACGAGGTGAAGTATTATATATTTCGAGACTATGTATTAAGACAAAAACAAAAAGGGTCAAAACACCTCAGAAAGTGCTGTTGCGATAATGCAGTCTATGAACTACGGCAACAACACCCTACCACGGCACGATCGATCCAGCTCCATAGAGAGCTTGCTCCATTGTCCACTGGTCGTTTGGTCTGTTCGTTCTTGCTTAGATGATGCTCGGCCGCGTGCCCCACCAGGTGAGCAGGGTTGCAAGGCCGACCGTCTCAAGGACGCGGACAACGACGCTGGCGGCAACGAGGTCCAGAGGGCGCTTCTCGGCCAGGATCTCGCTCAGGTAGCCGGGGGCGCTGGTCGCGAAGAAGACCAATGTGCCGAGGTAGGCGGCGCCCTTGTAGGACAGAGTGCCGGTGGCGTTGATCAGAGCACCGACGCCGTAGGAGCGCAGGCCGGAGCCGATGAACGAGGTGCCCCAGGCAACGCCGGCAGAGGCAGCCTGCTTGGACTTGGCGAACTCCTCGGCGGTGTTGGCCTCCTTGGCGCGCTTGAAGGCGTCACCGAAGATGGGCTGGAGCACTGCAGTGGGGATGGTTAGGTCAATATTCCGTATCAGGTGCATTGCCCATCTGTGCGTCGCCGTGTACCAGCAGCTGGTGTGCTAGACGCGCGAGGATGGTGAAAGGAATGCAAAGATCGATACGTACGGATGAAGTCGGCGCCCTGGCCGAAGATGGTGCCAATGGCAATAGCCGAAGGCTTGACAGAGGGAAGGTCTAGAAGCGAGGTCAGAACGAGGTCAAGAGCACCCAGAGGCAAGCCCAGCAGCTCCACACAGGTGAGTCGAAGCTTTGGTGAGACTGTACATACACTGCAGAGACATGTCGTCGGCTGTGAAGAAGAGAGATGCGATTTGCGGTGAGATTCTGCGGTGACGGTTAGAAACAAGTGGCCAGGTTCGACGTTGTCGATGCTTGGATGGCTTTCTTGTGGTTACAACGTCCACAACCATTCCAGTCCAAAAGGCGCATTCTCCCAAAGGTGAACGTGGTGGGATTACACACAGCCAAACAGCTCATCAAGGGGAATCGAGGGGTAATCGAGGGGCAACATCAGATGATCCCGCGACAGGTAACAGGTAACAGGTTACAGGAAACAAGTAGCTGGCATTGGGTAAGGGACAACACGGTCGTCAGGACGGAGCGCAACTTACAGATGGATGGTGGTTGGTTGCGTTGGATGGGAAAGGTTCTTGATGAAAGACGGGCGGTTGGAATACGAGAAAGAAAAAGGAGGGAGAAGAAGTGAAAAAGACGAAAGGGGAGAAGAGAAAATGGAAGGTGTGTAGAAATAGACAAGAAGGGAAAGACCTGTCGAGGAATGAGCGACGGTGCGGGCAGCACACAGTACTTCCTACTGTCGTCATTCCTGGCTTAATACTGCCTTCTTGCCCTGGTCTTTCAACCTACCCCTTTACAGAGGAGAGCTCAGAGTACTACTTTCCTTGTCTTAGCTCGAGACGTCCGTCGATGCAGCTTGAAGCCATTGGATTATGCCTTCCACAACAGGGAATCGCTGTTCCTTGCTCCTGCCCGTCTGTTACCGTGAACCGAGCATTTCTCGGGTGCGACTGGCCCTCAATTGGACCCGTCCCGCCATCGCCCTTTCCTATTCTTCTGTTCTTTTCCAGTCTGCGTGTCTGCCTCTACACTGCACGGTACTTTTGTGTACACTTTGTGGGAAAGCGCGACGAGGAGCTGGGCAGAGCGGGCAGGTGCAAAGGGAGGGAGGGAAAGAGGGGGCGCCGTCGCTCGTCACATCATCGTGATGATGTCACCACTGGGCCAACTGGACCGAAACCAGCCAACAGGCCAGCCCAGGCCAATCCAGGCCACCAAAGCAGCCCCCGCCTGCACGGTAATTGCACTCTTCTCCACACCGGAACAACAAAGAGACTAAACAAATGTAAGATACATGTACCTGCTTTGCATAGTGGCTTCGGCTGCGAAATACAGCGCAGGACAGGGAGAGCTGGGGCAAAGCTTCGCCTTCTTTTGTCCCTCTTTTCGTCTGTTCCGCACGCTGAGCTCAGCGATCGGCGATGTACATTGCGATCGGGAAAACAAGCGCGAAAACGAACATGCACGGGATAGACGGTCCTTTCTTTCGATTCGCACAAAATGCAGTCGTGAAGTCTGTGCCAATGCGCTAGCTTCCCTTTTCGGCACTGAGCTGAGAGCAGATACATGGGAAAGAGCGGCCTTATTCACGATACCCACAAGTAAAAAGAAAATACAGATAGAAAAAGAGGGAAAATTAGAAGAGGTAAAAAAAGGGAGAGAAAAGTGCAACAAAATATTCTGAAACCAGAATGCACACTAATAAAAATGCGTAAAACAATCTTACAAGACACAGCATGCAGAATGGAATGCCGAATCGGGTTGCCCCAGAAAGTAAGGCATTCCGGTCTCTTGAAGTCTGTACGACGCACGCCGAATTCTGCCAATCGCCCGGAATAGGGATCGGGCTTCGGCCCGGACCCGTGGCAACCAATTTCAACCTGGTCGAGAGGAACGCACTTGCGGAGTATTAAACAGCATGACAACACGCCCCGAGAGTGACACACGGGTCTCTATTGTCATCGTGCTGTCGAAAGGCGTACAGGAAAAGCGGAAAGTGCAATTCTCTAGATCAACTAATCGTATCAAAAGCTTCCTATGCGTGTCGTACCCGATGCAGGTTCGTCGTCCACCGTCCTCGATTATCCTCTCTTCTGCCTAAGGGTGTTTTGTCACGTCGTTTGTTCGTCGTCGCATCGACGTGCCTACCTCTTCATGACACGCTCCCGTTTCAACACTCGCTCATGCCCCTGTAATGCCTTGTCATGCCATGTGACGTCCGTCCTCACCACCGCGCAGAGCCAACAGGGCCCGGACATCCGAGACGTACTGGAGACCTTCCAGCAGCGGCACGAGGTGCAGGAGGTCGTTGTCAGTGTGGTCGCTGATCCAGCCCTGGATGGGAATGGCATTGTCTATAACATAACGGCGTTAGAGGAACTGCACTGTACGCTACCCGGTTGATCAATTGTGTTGCATGGGAGCAGGGTGCGAGAAACCTACCCTGGTGGAACATGTAGCTCAACGGGCTGTTGTCCAGGATCATCACCTTGCTCAGATCCGGTTCAACAGCGCTCAGATCCTTGATGAAGGCGCCGTGGCGAAACGTGCAATGCTGGCGGTAGTAGCGGGCAGAGAAGAACTTGCGTTCGGACTCCAGCCAGTCAATGACCGGGTCGGCGTACTCTTGCACAGACGCGGTGAACACAACCAGATTGTACCATTTGCATACCTGCATAAGAAGGTCAGTTGAGAATTCCTGCCTGTGGCAACGAGACAAAGGAGTCGCAGAAAGGGAGTGTTTCGTACCCTCCGCAGAAACTCGTCACAGTACGGCCGCTTGTGCACGTAGTAGAGGATCGGGTGTTGTGGGCCGGCACTCGGCTGGCCGCCGATGCCGACAAAGGTCGTATTCAACCGGACCTCAACCATATGCCCCGTGCTCATGCGCCCGCCCTTGGACATGCTGTGGATCAGCGTCTCGTCGAGGTCGAGAATGAGCGTCTTCTGGTGCGACTTGTCTAGAGGTTCGATGTTGAGGAAAGAGGGCTGCCGTCGGGGAATGAGTGGCCGAGGCGGCGCCGGCGTGCGAGGGTACTTTGTAAGCGCACCGGCCGGAGATGTCGGGGACTTGAGCTGCGCCAGGATGTCCTTGGCCACACCACCCCCGCTACTGTCGCCGTCAAAGCTGTCAGCGCGGCTGCCGCCGTTCCCACCCTGCTGCATAGACATCGCCGACGAGGAGGATTGTCCCTTGCGGTGTTTCCGTTGGCGCAGTGTATCGTCGTTCAACTTGATCCGTACAGATCGCCGATTGCTGCTCGAGTTGGTCGCGCCTCCAGCGCCTGGCCCATCGTCTTCACCAGACCGGCTGCCTGCCGTGCCCCTCCGGCCCGAACTGTCGTTTGTGCCTTTCCGTCTTTGTTGTGTGCGCTTGGTGTCAAAGTCCGACTCGGACTCGGAGGATACGGCGTACGAGCTTGCGCTCGGCATAGACGATGATGAGAAGAGCCGCCCGCTTCCCGTGGCCGACGTTACTGACATTGTGCTGTTCCGCTTAAGGAGCGTCTCGCTCTCTCCCGTAAAGTCGTCCTTTTCGTCACTATATGGGGGCGGTGAAGATTTCCCGTGCTTGCCGCGACGCTGCCCAAACAGGAGCTTAAAGGGACCCAGGGGCGAAAAGCGTCCGTTCTCGTCGTAAAGGCAGGCGATCAAATAGACGCCGGGGGCGGCCAAGGTCTGTAGGACCCAATGGATCGAATTCCACACGGTAACGGCCAGGCGCTTTGGCAGCGAGCGCCACTTGGATAGACGCACACTCCCTGCACCCGCGCTGGCTCCGTGCATATCCTTTTGAGGAATCAAGGGTGTAGTCTCGTCGCTGATGCCGGCCATGGACGTGCTGTTCTTGTATTTTGTCTCCAAGTCTTTTCCGAGTATTAGGGAGCCAGTCGTGCTACTGCTGCCGTTGGTGCTGATGGCGCGGCCTCCTTGACTGTCGCAGTCAGACGTGATTGCGAGGCCGATCGCGCTGAAGGGGCTGGGCCGCGAGGGGGGTGAGCTGCCAACCGATAAAGACGCATGCGATGACAGAATGGTCCGTGGACTCCTAGTATGTCTGCAGGTATAAGGTTGCGACGTAAGGATGCCGACAGAACACGCCGCTACAAGCACCGGCCGGCCATGAAAGGGGGAAAGGTACAAGGAGAGTTGAGGATCGAGAGAAATGACAGTTGCGAGGGCGCGGTTATCGAGGTCGGACTTGCAGGGGTTCTCGCGTTCGAAACAGTGTCCAAAAGGACCGTCGTTCACGTTCTCTTCGGAGACAGGAGAGTTGATTGCTGAATGTCCGTGTCGTTCCTCGCTTGGTGTCGGATACGTGTTCGTGTACAGTACGACGCGCTGCAGTGTATGAGAATCGAGAGGCAAGAAGGAAGCCGACGAGAACGAGACGCGCAAGTAACGCGGAGATCGGAAAGCATGCGCTCGTCAAATTATACAACGCGGTTGCACGCAGAAACGAGTGACAAAGGGCGGGAGGAATGCCACGAGCGACGGCGACAAGATGGGCTGGCTTGTTTGCGGATTCCGGTATCGAGGTAATAGAATCCGAGGCGAGCGAAGCGACACGCCGAGAAGCAGATCAAAGGGTCAAAATGCGAATGGGGGGTGGCGACGATGCAGATGTGCTGTCGGAAGCAGAGGAATGACGATGTCGCGATGTATGCGTGCAAGGGGCCAAAGAAAAAAGAAAACGGTATCGAAATTGAAGAAAATCCGTCCCACCGCGGTTCGGGGTTGCGAAGGGGCGGGAAATGCGTCTTCCGCTGGCGTGGGCTCTGCGTGGAGTTCTCTGTCGAGAATGAGGCGATGTTTCTCTGGCCGGGGATTCGGGCGGCAATAGTGGCTGAGATAAGTTGGGGGAGAGGAGACGCGAGGACCAGAGGAGAACAGTGGGAAGACCAGTCTGCTAAGAATAATACGCTGTGAAGCCTGGCCCGGGAAGGCACGAAAAGCTAGCAGTTAATGCAGCCCACCCAAATATGGACAGGGTTACAGTTGGGAGGTGAGGAAGGGACGCTGTCACGGGAAAATCCAGCAGCCTGGAAGGCATCAACCTGGGAAGTCGGCAGGAGACGGCAAGGGCAACTGGTGAAGACATGCCCTGTCGTAATACAACGGGTTTTGGAGGCTCTTGGCAACAACCGCTGGAGAGCGGTTGGGAAGGAGCGGACAACCAAGTCAAGCAATAAATAAAGTCGGTTTAATAAAACACACGTCGTAGGGCGTGATATGCTCCTGCCCGTGTTCGCTTCTTTCTTGGCGCAGCACGTATACATACTCAGCACTGCAAGGGAAACTGCGACGGAGGAATAGTGTCATCTCAAGAAGGAACGGGTCCACGTCCTTAAGAGTGCATCTCCGTATTACTTCTTATGGTTCTTTTGTTGTTTTTGTCTACTGGGCCTTTCGAACACAACAAAAGGTGCAACGGCGAGCAGCGGGGACGCCGAACGCTCCTCCCGCATTCTTTCTTCGCCTGATTGCCGCTTGTCCCGTAAAAAAAGGTCCACGTGAACGACACCGTTTGGGGACTTTCTCTCTCTTACTCATTTTTAATCGTTTTGCTCAAGCATATCTCGACCATTCACAGCAGGCAAGATGTTGCCGACATTGACAGGCCCTAGTGGAAACCAAACCAGACGTCATGTAGCTGTCTTTGAATTGACGGGAGCCGTTCACTAATGTGAAGTCATTCCTCTCTCTTGGTTGATTTTCCCTCTTGAATCACACCACGTGAGGACAGCAAAAGTCGAGGAGAAAGACTTCTCTTCTCCAGACGAGAATCTGCCGAGTCTCTTCAGTTCCTTTGTTTCTCCCCTTTAGGTGCCGAGGGTGTGAGACTGACAGGGTGTTGACCATGTGCCTGGCCACCCTGTGCCCAAATCAGTCCCACGTGGGCTTTGTTCTTTCGCAGGAGCAAAACGCAGGCAGCGGGTGCTGGAGAGGCCGCGGGGCCATGCCAGTGGCCGGCCCGATCGCCATCGATATCTTCGGATGAAAAAAGCTTAAAATCTGCGCCACTTGCAAGGTCGGCGCCTGGAGGAGTAGCTCTGTGGTGCGCGCGTATAGAGTCGTTGAAACCTTGGTACGAGAAAGCTACGAACGCTTTTTGGTTCTACGTTATATCCGGTTCGCCAATATGCATGTCGTTCTGTATCTGACGACCTGACTTGTCAATGTAGATGGCGAAGCACAAGGTGGTAAATAGCAAAAGTATCACAGTAAAGCATGGTGGGATAAAGCCCATGCCGCAGGTCGTTATAATATATACGTCTCCGGTGTTGTTGGAAGAAAATACAGACTAGAATACAAAACATTGGCCAGGACACCGTCTCACTTCTCCGCTCGTCCACCATGGCCAAGCTCCATCAGCATTGCCAGAATCGCAAGATTCCCTCTCCTCCTTCAAACGTTAGCAGGGCATTTCTCTCGCCGATAACTGGTGTAACGGTAGCCACAGAGATTCCTAGAAGGCGCACGACAAATCCAAAGAACAGACTGTAGAAGTTGTGCAGTGTGCGCATACGACAGTGCACAAACGGCCACCAAAGCGGCCCTGCCAACATGACGCCCTGTTTCTCTCCGTGTACAGTCAAATCGGCGCAGAGTTAACAATGTAAAAACCAACCTCCATCCGTAAACATTACTATTGGTGAATAATATGCTCCAAGGAAACAACCTAGCATGGACTCGGACTCCAGACCTCTTCCTCTCGTCAAAAAAAAGACAAACTTGTGTTCGATCAGAAGAAGAAGTAGGCCAACAGGAAACTCAGAAGGACGAGGATGGCCGTCACCTGCAGCGGCACGCCTTCGGTGCCTTGCCGGACTTGCTGTTGCAGCTGGGCGGTGGGTACATCACCGGTTGCTGTCGAGTCAGCATCGCCCGACTTCTCCGAAACGCCCGTAGAACCAGCAGCGCCCTTGCGCTGCCGCAGACCGCCGTCTTTGCGCAAGGACGAGATCAGCGCCTCGGCCTCGGCCAGCTTTGCGGTGAGGGCAGCAATCGTCGCGTCCTTGTCGTTTGCGGCGGTCGTTGTTATTTGAGCCGCGGCTGGCGAGGTGGTCACATGCGCAGCGGGAGAAGGAGAGGCCGCTTGCGAGGTTGCAGGCGAGGCGACGTTCGGTACGGATTTGCGGTCCGACCATGCGGCCTCGGGCGACAGAACACCGTTCAACTTGGGCTCTTCGCGCGGCGACACATAAGAAGGCGGGGGGACGTCAGGCGTAAAATCAAACTGAAAGGAGGACATGGGTGTTAGGTATACAAGACATCGGCAGAGTTGATGTGAGACAAAAACTAGGCCGTCCACTTACTCCGTTCGTTGCAGTTTGGCGGGCCGGCGTAATGGTCGGGGCAACTGCGTCAGGATCCTCGGCGGCTAGGAAAGCCACGCGGATCTTGCGTTCTTGAACGTCTGCCTTCTCAACTCTATCCCACTGTTGGTTGCAAAAGAAGAAGAAAAAATCCCTTTGTCAGTGATTTGATCCTCACGGCCAAATGCCAGTACTACAAAAGCTTGTGCTATACATCGCGTACTCGACAGGCAACCGAGCTCTGGGGACAACATACAATATCTTGGACACTGATAAACTCCTTGTCGCCCGTGATAGGAACGGCCTGCACCAAAAACTTGTCACGGCACTTGTAGTCGGCAGGTGGGTCCTGCTTCATCGCTTGGAGGAGAACTGAGCGACATTATGTCAGAGGATGCTCCAGTAAGACACAACCACAATGGAACAGCGGCAGGCAGAGACGTACCTGTCACCTCGACCTCGCGATCGGGCTCAATGCGCCCAGAGTTTGGACGGACACAGTATCTGCAAAATAGGGGTGTTATCAACATTGCACGTTCTCTCGCAGCGCAGAGAAGGAGAGGCGGTGCGCGCAGACGTACTGCTTAGGTGCTGTGGTCTTGACCTTGAAAGCAACCGGCGTCGAGTTCGGGTTCCGGATCCTCAAAGACTCAGAGACCTCGACGGTGAACGGGCCTAAACACAAAACATAGCAGGTTAGTTCAAGTTTTAAGCAGGGCTTTACAAACTCAGCCAGGGTGTGAACGAGGAGGGAGTACGCACGGCGAAAGCCGAGCTCCGCAGGCTCGATTTCAACAGACATCGCGACGTTTGGGAGGAGCGGTAGCTGAGGTTGGGCTCGAAATGGAAACAACGAAACGCGTGAGTCGTGGTTCAATTGAAAATCACGACAGACCAGCGCAGCCGAAATTGAGCAGGCGAACAGTCGGCGGGGTGTCGACGCGAAAAGGGGCAGGATTGTCGAGGTCGTCCTTTTCCAAGTGCGATTTTTGTCGTACAAAAAAGGGATGCTCAGCAGCGAAGGAAACTAGCTGAGTGAGGCTGTTCAAGCAACCAGAGTCGGTAAGAAAATGTAGTCGGGAAGTTCGAGCGCGTAGTCGTTAACTTGTCGGACGCAGTAGAGAGCCGTCGTTTGGGTGATGTTGTTCCTGGAGATCGGAATATCGAGGACGTCGATGGCGATGGATTAGTCAATAATAAATATTCGCTCCAGGAAAGCACAAGACGACATCATATGGCCAAGTTTCATCTGGCACCGGGTCCGCTGACAAAATGGGACTGGCGCGGGCAGGGCAGGCGCGATGGAAATGGACGCGGAAATGCCCCATAATGCCTGTGACAGCGGCTCACGTCTGCCCATCTGGCCTAATTGACCAAGACGTCCGTGCGTTGTTCCGTCGTTCGCACCTGCTGTCTTCAGTTGGCGGTGCAAAACGCCTGGAAAGGGCGATCGATCTCTACTGGAGGCCGTCGACACCTTCTAAAACCAGCGAGGCGGACTCACGCGACAGCGCGCATTAGGTGGCAAGTACGCCTGGCGCACCACAGTTTAAGGGCTGATACAGGGCACGGCCTGATTGAAGCAAGTGCACAGCCAGATGACGACAGCGGGAGTTACCTGGGGTAAGCTTAGTTATCAGCTCGAATTTAAACTTCCCCTCCATTGGCAAACGCTCTTCTGTTGTACATCACTCTCATACAGTGTCTCCGTTTGCACTCTGCCGCTTTTGGATCTTGTTTTCACTTGCTTTTCGCAGAAACTTTTGACTTCGAACCGATTTCTCTTACTAACCTTCGCAAAAACTCAATCTGAAAACCCCTCGCTCTTCAACAACCTTTGCTTCACCACATACACAAAACATTCTTCCTTCGGCTCCAGCCCTACGTCAACAATGGCGCAGTTGGATCTCGATGTGCTGCTCGACATGGGCTTCGAGAAGGAGCGGGCAGAGCTCGCCGTCAAACGCTCTGGGGGTCTGCAGGGAGCTCTGACGTGGCTCGAAGAAACGCAAGACACGCCGCTGGAGACGCTCAAGGCTTCCAGTGCCACGGCCGCAGCAAAGGACGGCGCTGACGGCGAGCTGGACGACGACGAGGGTGCAACAGCGGCTGCCATCAGTGCCCTGGAATCGGGCCAGGAGGCCAAGTCGCTCGTGTGCAACGAGTGTGGCAAGAAGTTCCGGAGCCAGGCAACGGCCGAGTTCCATGCCTCGAAGTCGTACGTGGAGCCCATTCCGTGGCGGTTTCTCACATTCTATTGCCAACTTCTGTAGTGCCAGAGGTTTCGCCTGCTCAAACATGCTCTAACAATGCTATGCATATTTATAGTGGTCATACAGACTTTGCAGAGTCCACCGAGGAAATTGCACCGCTGACAGAAGAGGAGAAGAAGGCCCGCCTCGAGGAGCTCCGAGAACGGCTCAAGGCGAAGCGTGCCAACCAGGCCATTGCCGACCGTGAGGACCAGAAGAAGAACGAGGTACGGAAGGCAGTCATTGAGCAAACCCCCCCCTCCCCTCTCCTCTCTTGTGTACTGAAAGCTAACGTCGACTGCCAACGCCTAGAAAATTCGCATGAAGGCCACCAAGGAGACTCAAGATTTGAAGGAGGAGCTTGAGCGGAAGGAGCGAATCAAGGAGGCGGCCAAGAAGCGCGCAGAAAAGGTTGCCGATGCGGATGCCAAGAGGTTGGTCAAGGCTCGCATTGAGGCTGACAAGGAAGAGCGTCGCCGGAAAGCGGAGCTCGCCAAGGCAGCCCGCGAAGGCCGTGCACCAGAGACACCTGCCGCACCGCCAGCTCCGGCGGGTGGCGGACTGGCAGCCGCGGTCGCAGCTTCCTCGTCCTCCTCGTCGAACCAGGCCCGTCTCCGCCTGCAACTGCCGACAGGAAACGTCCAGAAGACCTTTGACGCCGAGGCCACGCTGTTCGAGGTGGCACAGGCTCTGGAAGCGGACGACGGTTTCAAAGCCAACAAGTTCGAGCTGACGTTTCCGCGGAAAACGTTTGAGGGCGCAACCGACATGAGCAAGACGCTCCGGGAGCTGGGCCTGACGCCCAGTGCTGTGCTCCGGGTGCAGTAGTAAGGCCTTGCCGGGACAATATTGCAAGGCACAGGTGTATGCGCGGATAGGATGGGCAGCGGAAGATGACAGTTGGACAGCGTGCGAGTAATCTGAGGACATTAGGTGCATAGATGGGCGGCACTGTCCTACACAGACACTATCTTACGAAAACAAACTAAGGCACACATCGCCATGTCAAGGATGATGCATAGATACGATTTTGATTCAGCCCATCTGCCTACAAATCTGAGGCAGTCAGGCATTGGACATCAAGCACTATTCCATTAATACCACATGGATAGTGGCCCAGGCTGCGTGGTTCCGCCTGGCACACCATAAGCCGCCTGTTTGCTCCAGCACACGTCGACCATTTCGATTTGGATAGACTTTTTTTGATTTTTTTTATAAAATTTTTCTGCCGTTGTGAAAAGTACAAAAACCAGAAGGGCGCCGGGAGGGTTACCACCAATGATACCCCATCCGTTGTAAGATTCCTCCTCTCCGCTCCAGTTCTATTTTGAGTTTTTTCATTTGAAAAAGAAGGGTCGAGGCATAGTCGGGAAAAGATTCGAAACACACAAAGATACAATGCGCTTAGTCGAACAGACCGAAGCCCATGTCGTCGTCGGACTCCTCCTTCTCTGTACCGGGGGGTTAGCATATGGTTCTGTTTTCGCGTTTCCCTTGCACGGCCAAGTTGCAGCCAAAATATCGCCGTAGACGTGGTGGTACGTACCCTCAACCTTCTCCTCCTCCTTGGTCTCCTCGGCAGCGGCGGCAGCACCGCCGGCAGCACCGCCAGCAGCCGGGGCGGCAGCGCCGCCACCGGAGCCAACGTTGGACAGCAGGTCCTTGACCTCCTTGCCCTCAAGAGCCTGTAGGTGTGAGTTAGCCAAAATATCAAAGGTACATCGTTGCAAGCTGGCGTCGGTAAAACGTCGAAAGTGAAGATATTCGGCATGGCAGCAGAGTCCTCCATTGTCGCGGCCCTCCCACCACGTGCAGTGGTCGGCTTCGAAACCAATTTGCCTAGGGTCCCGTGCCAGTACCGATCCTCTCCTTTCGACGTTTGCTTCGGCTCCAATGTGCGGGGTGGCGGTTCGTTATCGTACCTTGGCGAACAGCTGGGCCCAGATGGGCTCAACCTCCTGGACACCGGCGGCCTTGATGAGGGTGTTGATCTTGTCGGCCTATATCACCAAAAAAAAAATCCAGGTTAGTCCTCCGTCGAAAATGTTGCGAGAAACGAATAAAATGCCGGCCAAGCTGCTGTGCCTGCGGAATCGGCACGGTTCGACACCTCGGATCCGGTAAGTGTAATCTCCCCGTCCCCCTAAGGTCGTCTCGTCGTCTCATGCCGATGGGCAGCAGCAGCTCGGCGTCGGCAGTTGGCGGTGGGATACAAACGCACCGTGATCTCGACGTTGTCGTCGGCCAGGATCAGCGCCGCGTAGGACGTAGCAAGCTCAGCGGTAGACATCTCGAAGGTGTTGTAGTTGTTGTTTCGCGGGGATAGAAACGAGGTTTCGATGGTGGTTGTTTGTTGCGAAATCTACAAAATGAAAAGCTGCGTTGCGGGTTGGTCGAAATGGGACTTGAATTTTTTCGAGTTTTTTGCCTACGGGGGCTCTCCCAGCCAAAGCCGACTAGTCCACTAGCAGCAAAAATGCTCTGGAAAGGGTTTGTGTGCGCCAGTGGAGAAACCCTCACCTATTTTGCAGCCAATAATGGCCTCGGCGCCAGTTTGGAGCAATGTTTCGGTTCACGGAAAAACTGATGCGCCGTCGTAAAGCCGAGCACCACAAATATTGCGATAAGCGATAAGGCGATTGGCTCAACACGAATTATGTAATCCATCAACGGACCCCTCTTTCTTCCAGCTTAGAGGCAAGTCCACGCCAACTTCCCCCCAATGACGTTTAGAACAATAGCGGTAGCGGCAAATAGCGGTTGCCAGCAGACATCGTTTTGCGGGACAAAGAAAGAACGACCTGCGGAGAAGGTCGTCACAGGCTACGTAACATGCATCCAGAGCCTGCAGGAAATAATTACTGCAAGAATGAACAAGCACGGCTCTGCATCCAGATACACACAGCAGCTGTAATTCACTCGTAATTCACAGCTAGAGCACGTTCAATTGAAGCGTATGGAGTGAGACTGGCTACAGCACGTACGAACCTTGCTCCTGCCCAATCTTTAGTGCAGCACATCCTTCTTTCCGTGGCTGCTCAATTAGACTGGACTAGGCCCGTCCGAGGATCGCTCTTGCTCAAAGAGAGCCCCAGGCGGCGCTGCGATAACCATATGACAAACGATCTCAAGTATGACAGAAGGAGCAACAGTTCGCTGTCGCCTTCCAAATCCACTCCTTCTCCACCTGAAAGCAAACAACACATCTTCGAGCATCGGCTATCATCGTCCTTCGGCGGCAATTCGTGATAGCATTCGCCCCCATCCATCGCAGATACCTAATCACGAGAACAGCTTGGCTTGCCCGCTGCTTGTGCGCCGCGTATCAACATGTGGGTACCGTCTTAAAGCATCTCCCCAAACCCCACCTCTCCTCTCTTCCGTTGGACGAAGCCGCTGGCCAGTCAAAGCATTTGACGACGTTCGAGACTGCATTTATTCGCTTTTACCTTTGTCCGATATTTATTTTGCATTTTGTTGTGTTTGTCAATCGCAGCATTCTAACCCGGCTCTGCCGCAAAAAGAAAGAGAAAAGAATAGAACAAGAAACGGGACCCAAGAATGGACACACCGGCCATTCCGGCGCCGCGGGACGCACAGGAGCGCGAGATCCTCGCCAACCTCGAGTCCATCCGGGACCGCCTGCTGCTCCTCAAACAGGATCGCACCAAGTACATTCGCAGCCAGGATGTGCTCGCGGTGCACAACGAGACGATCGAGCAGGTGCGAAGGTTGCGCGAAGTGCGCGCAGGCCGCAACGACGGCGAGAACCGACGTGCGTCACAACGCTTCCCAGGACTGCTTGGTCCACGGTGCGCTTCTGTTTTGTATTTTTTTGCTTTGCATAGCCGACTGACTCTTTCCTGCCAACGCTAGTGGACCGGGTGCTCGAGAGCTGCTTCCAGCTGCTTTCGCTCTTCTTCATGACCATCGGCCGCACCAGCGAGGCCCCGGCAGCCTATGCGCTGACGTCCACCATCCGCCGTCTACTCGACCACCTGACCGAGGCGAACCTGTACTCAGCCAAGGACCTGGAGAGCATCACGCACACGCTCGAGCGGCTCTCGTCGATTGTCCACAACCCCGACTCGAATAGCTCTCCGTACCTCACCGAGCTGATGGTCCACCGGGTGGACCAGTGCAAAGAGTCCATCAAGAACCTGCAGGAGAAGTTGGAGAAGCTGGAGAAGCCGCTGCCGGCAGTCCACGAAAAGCTCATTTCTATTCTGCGGTCCATGTCCCTTGCCAACACAAAAGCTCGGGTGCGTTCCAGCCTTGCGGTGGCCGCCGTCGGTTTCTGGTGCTGCTTGGAGCTCGACCATCTTTGCTAACATAACACGGTGCAGTTCCCCGTACACGAAGTGCAAAAGTACAAGTCGCAGCTCAAGGAAATCGACGAGCACCGCATAAATGGCGACTATGCGAACGACGAAGGCAAAGTGCCCTCGGGTATCGAAGAAGTCTCACAGCTGCTCAGCAGATGTCTTCTTTGGGCGGATGTTGTCCTGGAGCGCAAGGGTGTCATCCCGGACGAGTTCAAGCCAATGTACGAGACGCTTGTCGGCATTCGCAACGAGCTCGAGAAGTTGTCCATTACACAGGCCTGGTCGCTGCGCGAGACAGACCTGTACGACTTCCAGCGCCAGCTGGACAAGTTTGACGAGGCGCGCGTGGACGGCAACTGGGTTGACGAGGAAGGGAAGCCGGCCGAGCTTTACGTTCAAAGGGTAAGTTGTTTTACCCCCGCCCCCTCCCCGGGCCCCCAACGTGGTAGCCAATGCATTGCTAACATCTATCAGACATGTCTTTATCTTATCCGTCGCAGCTACGGCTTGGTGTACTCGCTCATGATTTCGTCGGAACCGGTCTCGGAAGCTCTTTTGCCGGTATACAACCAGCTGCTGACGCTCAAGCGCTGCTTGATTGAGGTCAAGGAGTCCGGGGGTGTCTCGTCTCCACGGGAGCTGTACCCTTACAGCATGAAGGTATGAATGGACGCATGGACTGTGATGCTTTACTGAACAACGCACGTGGGGCAGCTACTGACACGGCAAACAGCTCAATTCCATCGACAACATGCGCGTGGACGGAAAGTTCATGGTCGGCGGCGACATCCCCGAAGGCCAGGGCAACGTCACGGAGCTTCTGGCAGAGTGCTTTGAGCTCAACTACGAGCTCAGGATAGCCGCCGAAGACAAGGCTACCGAAGACAACGACTAGGCGGAAAAGTGATGCCTCTGCTGTTGCGAGTACCGATAATATCTGTAATGTTGTGCTTTAGTGCCACGTTTGGTTTATTTAACTTATTTTGCTTGGGAGGTATCTGTCACCTTAATATGGTTTCATCTTTAGCTTTTCTGTGTGTTTATTTTGCTGGTTCATGGTGTGGTCTTGCCCGGTCCATTCGACAATCATTGCATCCTTTCTTGCCCTTGTATTGTCAATCGGCCTTTTGATATCTTGGATTTTCCACCCCTTGGCTTCTGTATGTCGTTTTGGTTTAACCTGTTGAACACTGCTTTTCCAGAGGACAGTTGGTTAGAAAACTGTGCTGAGGATGGCTTGTAATGGCCAGACGAGGCGTTGGTGACCACATGGTCTGCGCTTTATTTACGTGGATCAGAAGCATATGTACCGCTATCGGCAACATATTTTGTGGCAGGACTACGGGATTTGGATCCATACAGGAGAGCTGAGATTTGCCCAGGAGGTAATGGCATCGACATTGCAGACACATGGCTTTCTGCTTAGAAGAAATGGTATTCAAGAATTGTTCCTTTTATGACTTTATTAGACATTTGTGATTTCCAGCCGCAAGCTTGATACAAAGCAACCCGGCTGCAAATAAAGAGAGCAATCTCCGACTGTTCACCACATCACCCCTATGGTACACGGAAGGCAGTCTTCATCGCATAGATCTGGGCCTACAACGACACGTGTTAGCAGAGGAAGAGCATCGAGACAAGAAAGGGACGTCGCAGTAAAATAGCGGCTCAACTCACATTCGCAACGTCCCAGACACCGGCCTCGACGTAAACGTCCTTCTTCAGGAACTCAATGACCTCCTGCTTGGAGTCAGCTAGCACAATGAAAGAGCTGCCGGCAAAGTCAAAAGTCTTGGGGTCGGCGGGGTCAGAAGGCTTGTCCTTCAGGATGGCACCTGCACTGGAGTTAGAGACAGAGAACGGACACCTACTTGAGTAGATATCTGGGGTGGAAAGAAGACGGAAGCGAAGAGAAAAAAAGGAAACAAAAGAAAAGAAGCAGAAGAAGCGACCAGGAAAGACAGGAGCAATCAACATACCACCAAACTTGAGCCTGCTTTTGACCGGCTCGAGGTTGGCGAAATGGGTGCTAGAGCAACAGGGTTAGCTGTGAGATTCAACGCTGGTGCACGAATTGAAAGACCGTCTCATCTCGTATGAGAGACGGTCTCTATCGTAAGAAGGACAAAGGCAAACATACGGACGGATGTCGAGACGCTTCTGGATCGTGTTGGGAAAGTCAGGGACGACGACAAGCCACTCCGTTTGGGGCGCAGAGTCGGCCATGGTGCGCTGGAGTTGCTGGAGGCGGAAGAGGCTGTTGTGGGTGCGGTTGGTCAAAGGGCGAGCTGCAGAGAGAAAAGGCGAAGTGGAAGAAGAGGAGAAAAGGAGGAGGCGAGAGGCCATTGGGGCGTTTCTACGAGAATATATACGCACGAGTCGTCGCCCAGTGAAAGAAGGCAGGAGGGGGAGACGGTAATAGGAAGAGAGAATGGCAGGTGCAACTACTACCGCGGGTTGAACAAAGCCGATATGGCAAGTGCGGGATCGCGTTCACGTATTGGTCTCCTCGCTCTTTCTCACTGTGTAGTCGGATTGGTTGCGCTTTGTGTCGGGAAAGTTCACCGTATCGGGAAAAGGAGGGGTCAGTAGGGAAAGCGCGCGTGTGCGGAGTTGTGCGCCCTTCTGAGCGGCAAGAGCAACAACCGTCTTGTCTGTTTCCTTCCAACTTAACCAAAACCACATACAAACCTCAACCTCTTTTGCTCTACATTCTGAGGAGTGAGACCAATAAATACGTCAAGTAAAACTACATCGAAAATAAATCAAATTGGGAGTAACGGCTCCCGAAATGATTCGACTGTAAGACCTCATGGTTATTCTCGTATACGAAACCTTGTTGAACTTAATGCGGTTGCTAGTCGCCAAAATATTATATCGGAAGCTGAAATATTCAGCAAAAATCAGTAAAAATGGGCCACCTTTCAGTCTCACCACCTGTACGTCAGGCAATGGTGAGCAGCTCACATCATCGTTTCGTATTGCGATAGAAATGTGTCTTGTTTGCTCCATTAAGGAACAACTTGAAAACGGAGCTTCGTACATCTGAGATGGGAGTTCGTTGTTGGGGCCTGAGGCAGCTGCCTGAACAGCTACAGAGAGTCACATGATGCGACCAATCGAATGCGCGGCTTTTAGAGCTGACAGGCATGGCCCCATTTTTCTCTCTCCTGCCCGATTCCTTTACGCTCGGCCTGGCGGGATTTTGAGGAAGTTTCGCGGGCAAGAAGGCCAAACGTATGGTGCCTTGAAAAATAACGACACGAAATTGAAACCACACCACCACCACCACCACCACCACCACGGTCCACGCATCGCGCATTCGCATTCGAATTGATCACCTCGCAAACGGCCCACCCACCGCAGCGTCGAGCCAACGCGTCTTTTTTGTCACACCAATTGGATCAATTGAGAACCAACGCACAACAATGTCGTACCTGTCGCTCGCCCCCTTCGTCCGCTCGCAGCCGTGGCTGAACAGCCTGCTGAAGCCCGTCGCCAGCTGGTACGTCGGCCTGGCCGGCTACCGCCAGCTCGGTCTGCGTGCCGACGACCTGATCCCCGAGGAGAGCGATGTCGTCCAGGCGGCCATCAAGCGCCTCCCCGCCCAGGAGAACTACGACCGCATCTACCGCATGCGCCGCGCCGTGCAGCTGAGCATACAGCACAAGCTGCTGCCCAAGGAACAGTGGACCAAGGCTGAGGAGGACGTGCCGTACCTGGGCCCGCTCATCGAGCAGATCGAGGCCGAGATCAAGGAGCGCCATGAGCTGGACAACGTTGAGATCATCAAGAGCCACTAAGCGGTGTGTGTAGCAAGGAAGGGGAATATGGGGGAGAGAGAGGTCTGAGGATTGGAAGAGCAACAGACGATGGCTAACGGCCCCGAACGCCGACGACTGCGAAATTAAACAACAAACAACGACCGGCCCCATAACCCGACAACCAGGGCAAAGGGCGCCGATGCCGAGCACTTGGTGAGCCCTTTGCTCAGCAGAAACTGCAACCGCCAAAGCCTCTTTTGCCTCTTCTATTCCACTCGCCTCTGATGGAAAAGTGTTCATGGAGAGCGAGAGAAACTACCCGCCGGGCGTTGGTGGGCTAACTGTGCATAGATATCCGACGCTGGATAGACCGTTCGGACTGGACGGGATGGATTGGACGACAACCTGCGTTTCCTATCTTTTGTATCATATACGCACATAGACGTTCCTCAAAAAAAGACAAACTTCTAATTTCACTTCTGGACTTGCGTATGCACAACAGTCGGCGCGAAATACAGAGTAGTAAGCACTCTATGTATTAAGAACAGACCTGTGCCTGGTTGGACTTTATAGTTCCGTCAACATCGACATACAAAAGGATAGAACGCACGAGGGCCTAGAACCGATTCTATAGCAACTAATACGCCAAATAATAAACACAGGATAGACAAAGTGGACAAAGCAGACCGAAAGGACAGCCGTGAGCCAGCACGCGAAAGAGCCGGCACGGGCACAGGCACAAACGCCCCAAACAATATTCACCAATCTCTTCGTCTCCGGCCTCAGCCCGTCCTCCCAATTAAGTGCACTGTTGTGCACAAACATCAAAGGCAGAGAACCAAAGGTTGCATACCCATATAGTTATGCTGATTTTCATTTCTCGGTGTGCAATTGTCAAATGCCTTTTGAAAAAACAATAAAAATAGCTTGTATGACAAAAAAAAAAAAAAGCAGCCGAATTAGAAAGAAAAAAGTAACCCCAGAACACCGTAAAACGCCTCGTTCAGACGAACAAGTCGCATGTCATATGTGATAATAAATATATAGCAGTGTGTTTCGTGAAAGTGGGAGCGATGGGGAGGAGTCGGAGTAAAGAAACGACAAAAGACGAGGCAGGTGGACACGCTATTATGCGTTGCCACTTTTCTCTTCCGTGTCAATGTGCCAGACCACGTAGTTGGGCAGGCCGTACACGCCGTAGCCTGCCCGCTTGGCCATTTTGGCGAAGCCCTCGGTCTCGGCCTGGTTCTCGAAAGCGTAGCATGGGAAGTTGATGCCGGAACGGTGGACGTCCGCCTTGACGAGAATGTTGACACCGCCGACACCATCAAGCTCAATCTCTTCGTTCTTGTCGTTCCGCCAGTCGCCCATGCGCGCCATGTACGTCCGACCGGTGTCGTACTGCTTATAACCTGCAGTTTATTAGCGAAATGCCACTTCGCCGTCACGTTTGGATGTGTACGTCTTGGACCTACCCTCTGCAAGAACGACATCCTTGTCCAGGCTTTTGGTCAGTTTCCGGCCCTTGTCTGATTCGACCCAGGAGTTGTAGTCAACTGTGTGCAAAAGTCAGTATCACAAGTACAAAGATATAAGCCATGGTTCAGCGTGCTCCAGGGTCTGTCTTACATCGTCCCTCAATGTCGCGGCCGTCTCTGTAACGGTGGAACCAGATGTCTGTGACATTGTGTTAGTGATGAGTCTTGCGCGACAAAAATCCAAATATAAGAGTGCGCATACTGGGGACAAGGACGTCGCGGTCGTGGGCGACAAAGTCCTCGATGATCGTTTCGGGGCTCTCGACGATGTCAACGTCGCGCCAGTACACCCAAGAATGGGTGGGCTTCAGCGCGGCCGACAAAAGGTAGTTCCGCGCACGGCCCAGGGCCTTACGACGGGGACCCTGTGCCTCGAACGAGTGGCGCTCTGTGACGTCCTGGCTCAGGTGAAAGTCAAAGTCCTTCTCAACAACCATGGCGCTGTTGAAGGGAATCTTGTCCGGGCGCTTCTGGATGCGGTCCAGCTCCATGCCCAGGACAGCCAGCGTCTCGTCCGTCGAGTCGGACACGAGGAAGGCGAGGTCAATGAGATGGTGTGGGTAGGTGAGCTCCGAGATCAGCTCAAAGTACTTGGACAGGTAGCGCGCAGCATCCTTGATCGGGGTCAGGATGAGCACGCGTTCCTCGTTGGCGGCAGCCTTGCGGGTGGAGCGGACCGGGTTCAAGTTAACATGCTCTATTGTCGTCGAGTTAATCGTCACGGGAGCGTGGTGGTTGAAGATCACCGGAGTCTTCAGCCGGGCGTTCCAAGCAACATGCTCATTAGGTGTCATCTCCATAGGCGACTTATTTGGGCCCCAGCAGTAGAAGCTACAGTGGGGAAGAAAATGTCAGTCAACTTGATACTCGTGCATCACAATCGCGGGGGAAAGCAGGGAATAAAGTAAAACTCACCTCTGCATTTCCGACGCAGACGATCGGATGCCACGCCATAATAATAAGATTATACTGGCAATGGCAATGAGAAGTAGAAACCGCGTCCGTGTCAGGAACACAATGACAGCGCGCGATGGTGGCAGGTTAGCCTTTGCGGCTTTCCAGTTGAGCCCGCCCTTGGGGAGTAACATTGTTGAAGGGACGTGTAAGTAAGCGGCGCAACGAAGCGCAGCTAGTAGACAAAGGAGTGAAAGAGAAGGAAGGGAAGAGCGTATGGGTGAGCAGGGACAATGTATACACACTGCTAAACCGCTGCCGCTCGTGTAGATGACGTCGAAGTGTCCTGTTCGTCCTGAAATCGTCGTTATGCTGCTTCGTCTCGGTGGCGACCGTAGATTCTCGGAAAACGACAAACGTGTTGTCCCGTCCGTCAATGGTGGTCAAAAACCCAAGGCAGGGAATACCAGTCGGACGAGTGAGCAAAAGAAAGAAATCGCGTGCACTGGGAGACTATCGCCCCCCAAAAATATAAAAATGTAGAGGCTATCGCCAACCAGAAAGAGTTCGTGTGCACGCCGAAGAGAAAGAGACAACGTGTCTATGTCAACCGCAGGCGACGGACAAAAAGTCGCAGTGCTAACAAAAGAAGGACAAAAGAGCTACGCGATGGCTGTAGCAGAGTCTGAAAACGAATGTCGGTGCTTAGAGTCGAAGCGAAAACGTGAAAAACGTGACGTAGAACCAGTCTTCCGGCAATACTAGCAAATTAGATCACGATTCGTCGGATTCGGAGGCCGAGGAAGACGCGGAAGTAGACAGTCGTGGTGCTCGTCTACTCTGGCGCGGATGGATGCGCAGACGATGTATGCCAGTCGACGGGGACGGGAAGAAAGTGTCGTCAGGTTGCAAGGCAAAGGAGATGCGAGAGAGTTGAGAGGAGGAAGAAAACGAAGCAGCACAGCTTAGCTGCACAGAAAACCCACAGCAGGCGCGGTCGTGCTTGCATTTACGGCGAAAGATAGCAGTTTCCGTCCACGTCGTATCGAGACTGGGGCACTTTTTCAAGTTCTGAAGCAAAGTTGGAAGGAGCAATCGGATGGGGTAGGTCTAGGCCCGCTGTGCCTAGGCCAAACGGGCTGCTGGAAAC